ATTTACAAATTATATTTATTATACTTTGTTTATAATTAAATTAATTTATTAAATTTATAAAACAAGACATCATAGATATTGATAATAACAATAATAATAATTATGATGATTATAATAATCATAATAATAATTATAATAATAACAATCATTATAATGATTATGATGACAACAATAATAATGATAATAATCATAATAATAATAATAATAATGAGAATGATGATAATAATAATAATAATAATAATCATAATAACAATGATGATAATAATGATAATAATAATAATAATAATAACAATTATAATAACAATAATAATGATGATAATGATAACAGTAATAGTAATATTAGAAGTAGAAGTAGTACTACAGCAAGTAGAAATAGTATTACAGCTGCTACTACAGCAAATAGAAGCAGAAGTATTTAGACACTTATAATTTCTATTTATATTAAGGACAAATGGTGGAGATCTGATTTGATAAGATCAATAATTATAATATATTTTTATACTTATTGGATATAATATTAATAGATTATATTAAATGATATTTTATAATTAAAGAAGCTATTGTACAAAAGAATCAATTCAACAATTGATCTTTTGTGTAAATCACCAAAAAATTTCAAGTTTCAAATTAGATCTCTACAACATATGTTAAATAAAAATAAAATAAAAGTTTCAAAAAGTACACCTATTTGAACTCTAAATAAAGAAGCATTAAAAATAATAAAGTGAAATAAGAAGACCATTCCAATTTATAATACTGATTATATATGTTCCCAAAATTGATTTTGGATTTTTGAGATATTTTGACTTTTTGAGATTTATGCAGAATCTATTCTATATATGAAAGTAAAAAAAGTATTTAGTTATATGTATATTCAATCAAAGAATAAATCTGGGTGATTAAAAATTTCAGGTTTTAAGTAAAATAATTTCATCTTCTATAAAAAACTATTTTGACTTTTTTTTCTGAAATTGTAATTTAAGAATCTCAAAATAATTTTATGTGCAAGTATAATCCCAATATCTCAGATCAAGATAATGATAACAATAATAATAACAATAATGATGATAATAATGATAATGATAATAATGATAATGATGAAGTAGGAATTAGTAGTAGAAAAAGAAAAAGAAAGAAAAAAGAAAAAATCTAAAAAAAATAAAAAAAAATAATTAGATAGATTTAAATGTGAACATTAAAAACATTTTATATAGTATAAATAATATAATTAACAATATATAATATGTATAACATTTTTTATTTTATATTTTTTATTAATAAATAATATATTTCATTTATATTTTATAATAATAAACAAAAATGTGATTATCGATAATAAGAAAAATGAAAATATATAAATAAAAGTTATCAATAGGTATCCAATAGTAAGAAAAAAGTACCTGATATTGGAAATATATAGTGACCGATATATACCTGATATATATCCGATATACTATATCAATATATTGAAGATATGTGTCTAATAAAAAATAAATGAAATTGGATGTTTGATAAGTATATGATATATTTGAAAAAAATGTTAAAAAATTGAAGTCCGATATATGTTCGATATCTGTTAATATATGTTCAATATATATTTGAACTTCAATATACTTACCCTACCTATCGAAAGTCCAATATATTAAAATTTATTAAAAATTGGGTATCTATTGCATACCTATCAGATGTTCAATAGATATACGATAGGTGCTGATTTTCCACAAAATGACCAGTGATTATAATGAAATAATAAATATTGATAAAAGTAAGGAGGAATAATAAAAATTAATTTTTAAATATTTATATATTTTGAAAATTTTGTAAATATTAAAATTAATATAAATAAAATAATGATAATATTTGAAATATCACAATAAAATAATAATTATTAATAAATTATAAAATATAAAAAATTACCTATATATAAATACAAATTTTATAAATTTAACAAAAATGGTACAGAAATTTTTGTAAAATATTGTGGAATATTGTGGAAATTTTTATAAAATATTATGGAAATTTTTGTAAAATATTATAAAATATTACAAAATTTTGTAAAATTTTTTTATGCAAACTTTTGAAAATATTGAAAATTTGTGAAAATTTGTGAAGTGAAAATTTGTACAATTTTTTACCTATTAAAATTTCCTGATGTATAAATGTCTCAAGTGTATATTATAAAATTTGAATTATAACACTTTAATCTGTGTTATAAAATTTGATCATGACATATTTCACAAATCACAACACATATGGATATAGTTATAGTTTAATTTAAGTGATATAATTATAGTCTGTATAGACTATAATTATATCACTTTATACAAAACTTACTATATATTGGAATTTTATTTATAATAAAATCATTTTATTTTATTTTTTCATTTGACTCAATTACATTAGTTGAATAAAGAAAAACAGACAAAAATTTTGATATAAATAGACAGGAAGATATACAAATAGGCAAGAAGATTTATAGATGATATACAAATAGATAATGAAATATTTGTGAATGATATACAAATAAGAAGAGAGATTTGTGAATGATATGTAAATAGGCTAAATCAATTTATATCAAAAAATTTTGTTTTTTTTTTTGATTATTTGACATATGTTAATTTATTCTTAATGTAAATTTAAAAAAATTAAATTGCAAGTATAAAGAAATTTTTGTAAAAAAAAGTTCAAGTTTTCTATTTACATGTCAAATGAGAAAAACAAATAACTTTTTAATAAGAACAATTTATAATTACTTGTTAATAGCAAAAACAAGTAAAAATATTTATTAAATAAGTATATGTGATTTGAACCAAAATTTTACATATTATTGATTATTCAATATATTAAAAAATAAATAGTAACTGATTCATATTTAACAAATGAAATAAATAATATGAACCAAATCAATAAAAAAAAATCATGTTTTAATATTTGAAAAAAATATAACTAATTTGAAAATTTTTTGTAATACAAATAATCTCCAGTTAATTTGAAAAATTAAAAATCTTATTATAAGAAGACAATCAAAAACCAAAGGAAAGGATATTCCTAAAGCTTTTTATTTATGAATAAACATAACCAAACCTCTAATTCATTATTAAGATTTATATTTTTTATATTTTAACAATGAAGAATTCCAAAAGCAAATTAAAAAAAAATAATTAATTATCTAAAATGAAATCATATTAACAAAAAAAAACAAATTAGAAAGAAGAAAATAATAATTTTGTTTAACATATTTTCAAATATTAATTTTTTTAACGATTTGCACTGATAGCCTTAGCAATAATTAGTGCTGAATACAAATCATCAATCAAATCATTAACATCCTATAATTTAAATATATAAATAAATTGTTTCAGTAAATTTATAAACTCTTAATATTATATTAATTATTTAATAAAACTTACTTCAATTCCAACACATAAACGAATTAAATCCTCTGGTAACCCTCTTTCTTGACGTACTGTAGCAGGTATACTTGCATGAGACATTCTACAAGGCATACTAAAAATTTGTAATAAAAATATATTTAAAATTCTTTATATATTTGAAAATAATAATTACAAAAAAAAATTTTTTTTTATTTAATTTTTACCTTATTAAAGAATTGACACAACCAAAACTAACACTAATAGCCCATAATTTAGTGGATTCCACAATACGTTCACTAATTGTTACATCACCAGTTAAAAAACTAAGTACTGCACCAGGTCCATTGGACATGGTAAAATGTAAATTATGTTGTGGATGTGATCTTAATCCAGGATACATGACTTTGAAATTATGATATTCAAGAAATTCTGATATTTGCATTGCATTTGTTTGTTGTTTTTCCATACGAACAGCCAAAGTTTTAATACCACGTAATAATAACCATGAATCAAAAGGAGCCAGACCACATCCAGTTGAATTAATAATAAAGTAGATTTTCTATAATAAAGGAAGTTAGCAGATGTCCAAAATATTTCAAACATAATCAAGTGTTGAAATTCCATAAATAATAGAGAATGATTTTCTAGATTTTTTAATTTTCTTTACCTCCGCAACAATTTCATCTTTAACACCAATAACTCCAGCCATTAAATCATGATGTCCACTAAGATATTTTGTTCCAGAGTGTAACACTATATCCGCTCCAAAATTTAAGGGTCTTTGAAGATAAGGAGACATCATAGTATTATCAACCACTATCAAAGCATTTGGACATTTTTCATGTACAACTGATGCAATTTCCGGTATGTCCGAAACTTTTATTAATGGATTTGTAGGTGATTCCAATAAAACAAGGCGAGTTTTTGTAGGATGCAAACACGGTAATAGTGAAGTTGCATCGGTGGTGTCAACATGATGTGTTTTTATATCAAAACTTTTATTAAGAAATGAAAGAAGTCGATTTGTTCCTAAAAAAAGAATTATGAAAATTATACTACAAAATAAAATAAATAAAAAAAACAAAAAAAAAAAAGTTGTGAGATAATTTAAAATAAAATTTATATATTTACCTCCATACAAATCATCACCAGCGATTATTTCCTCGCCAGACTTAACTAACCGAGCTATCACATCCAAAGCGCTCATACCACTGCTCACAACAAAAGCACGTTTCGCTGACATAATTTTAGCGAGATGGTTTTCTGAAAGAATCCATCATTATCTATTAAAATATCTATTAAAATTTAAATATCAAAAGATTCGACTTGGTTAAATAAAGGGCGAAAATTTACCTAAATGAGATCGTGTTGGATTTCCGCTTCGAGAGTAATCAAACTCGCCCATTTGAGATACAGAAGATTGTTTGAAGGTTGCCGTCTGATAAATAGGCATAGATGAGGCATTATAAGGATCTTTGGTCCCAGATCCATCGGAATTGTCTATATAAACTAATTCTGTTGCAAGACTGTATTTACTTCTGGTAAGTTCTTGAGGTGGTTCAGACTCCATTATTATTATAGGTTTTTTAAATTAACGTAAATTAAAGATTTAAATAAAATGTAGATTTTTTTGATCTAAATTGATTTGGTAATTATAGATAAACCAATAATCAGTGTTAAAAATTCGTAATCAAAGAAATTTAAAAATATTTTTAATTGCATCAAATAATTGCAGCATCAAATAATTGCATCGTCATAATTCAATTCAATAAAATATTTAATATAAAAAATACAAATTGCAGATTAGCATTTTACCTATTAATATCTTGCTATTCCCTTATTACAATCTAACTTTCATCAATATATGCATATTGCCCTTGATTATTTTAATTTTATATGTATTTTTTTTTGAATTTTAATTCTAATAAATATTGTACATTTTCTTAATTTATTCAGGGTTGATATTTAGCAATCCAGTTTGACAGTTATCTTCTTCATAGATTATCCTTGCATGGGAGTGAATATATCAGATATTGATACTAAAAAAATTACAAAACAAATATATTAATACATCTATTTTTGTCTCCTGGGAAAGGACCAGGGTATGGAATTAGAGGTTATTGAATATAATTTATATTGAAACATCTACTGTCATTAGTTCACCAGTTTCAGAACTTAAATGAATTAAGGAATTTGTAGAATTGCAATTTTACTTCACAATTCCATTTAAAAATCTGCAATATTAGTAAATATAACAGTATATTCTTATAAGTATGTAACATATGTAACATATGTAACAAATTGTTATATACTTATGAGACTATTATTTGTTAATTTCCTATAAAAAAACTATTTTGTTCAATAAAGGCAAATATATTTTAAATTTTAATAATTAAAAATTTAACAAAAGTGAATGTACATATAAGACAGACATTTAAGAAAAATTAGTAAACCTAACAAACTGTTATTTAATTTAATTTAAAATAAAATAAATTTATTGGCTTTTACACGTGGTGTGGCTATGGCAAATTGCATGCGCCACCAACCTGACACACTTTTCAGGCGTGCACCTGAATTATCAAATGACGTTTCCACTTACATTAACAGTTAAAAAATTATAGTATGCGATTCTCAGTTATAACTTAAAGTGGTCTTAAGAGGTCGTTGAATTTTTGAGACTTTGGTGTTTTGAAAGGTTTTTTAGTGTTTAGAGCAGCCGTAATAAAGTTCAGAGTAAAGCTCGATTCGTATATATTTGTTGTGAAGTCGTTATTCGTTTTACAAATAAATTGAAAAATGGGAATTCCAAAATTCTTTCGATGGATGAGGTACATGATAATTCATTGAAATTTTGTATCAAACTTATTGTAAATTTTAAACTTTAACCTAAAAATACTATTTCCTTTGTAATTTGTATTACTCCAAAAGTGAGAGATATCCGCTATGTAGTCAGTTAATTACAGAAAATAGGTAGCTTTCTAATTTCAAACTTTCAATAATAAAAGGATAATGGAATTAACCTTTAATATTTTTCAACTACTATTTGTTGACATTTATTATATAGAATTCCGGAGTTCGGTAATACTTTATCCTTACGAACTTTACATTTTTATTGCTTTGTTCTACATAACTTGCCATAAACATTATTCAAACATCTTGTTTGCATAAAATTAAGATTTAAATGCTAGATGTTAACCTATCTTAATTTTCTTTTAGATAATTTATATCTTGATATGAATGGCATAATTCATAATTGCTCCCATCCAAATGATGTTGATGCTCACTATCGTATTTCTGAAGAAAAAATTTTCATCGACATATTCAATTACATCGATCATTTATTTACCAAAATCAAACCGAAAAAAATATTTTTCATGGCAGTAGATGGTAAATAATTTCTTTTTATCGCAGGATTTGTTTTTTTTTTATAGAGAATTGATTTAAATATACGTTTTCGAAATGAATAAATGAATAGGGGTTGCACCCAGAGCTAAAATGAATCAACAACGTGGTAGACGGTTTAGAACTGCAAAAGATGCAGCTGAAGCCGTTAGGAGAGCAAAACAAAAAGGTGAAGAGTTGCCAAAAGAAGCTCCATTTGATAGTAATTGTATTACTCCAGGTAATTATTATCATTCATTCATTGTATGAAATGAAATGAATCAATCTTTTTGTATTATTAATCGTATCTAAATCTTTTAAAATTTATATTAGGCACCGAATTCATGACAAAATTATCACATCAACTTAAATATTTTATTAATAAAAAGGTGACCGAGGACTCAAATTGGGGAAATGTAAAAATAGTATTATCTGGACATGAAGTACCAGGTGAAGGAGAACATAAAATCATGGAATATATTCGTAGTGCTAAAGCACAATCCGATTATGATCCCAATGTTAGACATTGTTTATATGGTTTGGATGCAGATTTAATAATGTTGGGTCTTTTGAGTCACGATCCTCACTTTGCTTTGCTTAGAGAGGAAGTCACTTTCGGACCCAGCAAAAAGAAAAAGCATGGGTAGGTTTTTTTCTTATATAAAAAAAAATATGGAATGAATTTAGTTTGTATCCTGGGGATTAGACTCTTATCCTGTTTCCCCATTGTAGCTATCATGTGATGGTTATTTTATAGAAAATTTATTTATTTAGGGGATAGAGAATAAGAGTCTAAAGAGTCTATACCTGGGTACATTTTAAGGACGTTCAAAAATGTGATGCATAAATTAGCAGAATTTATGTTAAAAAATGATTATCTTTTATAGACGCATAGAGTCACAAAATTTTTACCTCATGCATTTATCCCTTTTACGCGAATATTTGGATCTTGAATTTTCCACTCTTCGCGAATCTCTTACATTCGAGTATAATCTCGAAAGAATAATAGACGATTTTATTTTATTAGCATTATTTGTTGGTAATGATTTTATACCACATTTGCCTAGTCTTCACATAGCTGAAGGGGCACTTGGATTAATGTTTAGAGTCTACAAAAAGACATTACAACAAGCCGGTAAGTTGCAATTTTGATTTCAAAATTAGGAACTTGTTTACAGATAATGAATAAAATAATTATTCACAAACGGATATTCTTTTATTCATTAAATAAGATATCCGCGAGCTATCTTATTTAGGCTATTATATCTTAAATCTGTGTATTATAATTAGTTAATAGATGACTTATCTTTTTTGCATATGTTTTTTTTTTTGAATTCAGGTGGTTATATAAATAATGGAGGATTATTAGATATGAAACGATTAGAGATGATATTTAAAGAATTAGGTGATTTTGAAAGGGACATTTTTACAAGTGAATCTGATGATCAAAAATGGTTCAAGGGAAAACAGAAGAGTCATTTAGAACAGATAGAGAAGAATAAAAACAATAAAAAATTAGGTAATCTTTAATCTTATTTCTGTATATTATATTTACACATTATTTATATTCACAATATTTTTATGTATTTGATTAATAGTATTGTCGCCAAGGCAAAAAGACATCTTCGAAAAGATAAAAGAATTAGTTAAATCACGATCGGATGAACCTGAGCATTTCCCATCTGATTATCCAGCTCGAGACCGTGTTTTTATTCAGAATTTGGCTAAGGAATTACATATTCAACAATTAGTTGAATGCGACGAAGGAACAGAAGATAAGCACTTATATGTACAATATGATTCAGAAGGAGAGTCTGATGATGACATGATAGCTACAAGGGAAAAGGTATTTCGTAAATATGAAAAAGCCGACGTTATTGAAGATGATGATGCTGAAGCTTTTGAAGAGAAGGAGAGACAAAAAAATGAATTGAAGTTTATTGAGTGTAAAAAAGATTACTATAAGAAAAAGATGAATATAGATTATGATAACCCAGAACAAATCGATAAATTAATTGGTTCATATGTGGAAGGATTACAATGGGTTTTACATTACTATTATAACGGTGTTGCATCTTGGGGATGGTTTTATCCTTATCATTATTCACCAAAAATTACAGGTGGGGGAAGTTTTTTTTTTTTTTTTTTTTTGAAATTAAAGAATTGCTTAAATTATAATTATTAACTTTTCAACTCTCAGATCTACAAGGTCTAGAAAGATTTGATATAAAATTTGAACTCGGGAAACCATTTAAACCATTCGAACAATTAATGGGTGTTTTACCAGAAGGGAGCAAACACCTTTTACCTCTTCCACATCAGGTACTTATGACTGATCCTAATTCTCCAATCATAGATTTTTATCCCACCGAATTTGATCTTGATATGAATGGGAAAAAGCAAGATTGGGAGGCAGTGGTTAACATTCCCTTCATTGATCAAGATAGATTAATTGCTGCATTAGATTGTGAGTATTAGTTTTTTTGTATTTTTAAATAATATTTTTATTAACATTCAATTAACTTTCAATTAACTTTCGATTTTTCATTCAATTTTTCATTCAATTTTTCATTCAATTTTTCATTCAATTTTATTAGCTAATGAACATTTATTAACGGAAGAAGAAAAGGAGAGAAATAAAATTGGAAAAAGTCTACAGTTCACATATGATCCTGATCTCGAAGAAAACCATACGTATTCTTCTTCTTTACCAGGTTTCTTCTCAGGTAAGCATTTTCTGCTTTACATTCTTCTTACCTTATTTAGGTCAAAATTCCGCAAATTCTTTATTTTCTATTCAAATTTTCAGATGTCCAACATTGTCATTGTCGTATGAAAGAATTCCACCTTCCAACGCTTAATGGATTAAAATTACTTAAAGGATTGTGTGATGGTGTCAAATTAGGTATAGAAGCAATGGCAGGTTTTCCATCACTGGAAACGATACCTCACACAGGGGCACTTCAACAACACGGTGTTAATGTTTTTAATTCTGAGAGCAAGTAGGTTTTTAATATTTAATTTAATTTATTTATTTTGATATTTATTTATTTTGAACTCTTAAAATAATTCTACAAGAAATGAAACAATGGTCATTACGTTAAAAAACCAATTCGAAAACAAAAAAATCGAAGATATAGCGAAAGAAATTATTGGAAAAAGAATATTTGTTGGTAAGTTTTTTTTTTAATTAAATTTATGAGTTTTTTACTTAAAATATTTATGATAAGATAAAATATAATTTAGTTATTTTTATTTGATATTACTGTTAGGTTGGCCTTTTCTTCAAGAAGCTAAAGTTCAGGCTATATCCAATGATCGTTGCAGATATGAATTGCCCTCTTATTCCGATGGTATCAAACATGTCACAAAAACTGTACATAGATCCGAGAACCTAGAATCTTGGCGTAAGAAAGCCGAAAAGTTAGAACATGTATATAGCAAAAGATTTGGAACAATTACAGGAACCGTGGAAGTTGTTGCACACGTTTTGATGCTTAAAGGTATTTAATTTAATCAAATTTTAATGGATAAACTGATAATTATACTTATTCTCTGACAAAAATATTTATGTATTATTTTAAGGGTTAAAGAGGTTAGGTAATGGTGAATTGGTAAAAGAATATGCTAACGTGGGGGAAGAAGTAGATTATGCAATACAGACAACCGTGAGCAGCATTGAGTCTGAGGATCCTCGATTTGAAGAGAAGCCTCCAATCCCTATTGAAGAGGAATTTCCGATAAGAACGCCAATATTCTTTTTGAGTAGTCCTCTTTATGGAAGTCCAGGACATATTTACCAGAATTCAGAAAAAAAATTAGCTGTTAAAATTGGGTATAATATTAGCAAGGAACCTGATTTTGGTTTATTAATCGCACAAGAATTTGCTAATCGGGTTAAATATTATCCGTCTTACTATGTCGCGAAAGAGTTGGATATGACAGGCCTAACATTAAGTAAACTGACCGCTAGCCTACATGTGATTTGTAAATCAACAGATCAACGAGTAAATCTTGGTCTCAATTTAAAATTTGAAGCCAAGAAACAAAAGGTATTAGGTTATACTAGAAAAACGAAGGATTTCGGTTGGGAATATAGTGAAAAGGCCATGGAAATTTTGGCACAATATATGGTTCGTTGCATTTGCCTTCCTTACATGTAAATTGTTCAATCATTATATCATGCCAATTTACATGAACAATAAAAAAAACAATAGGAAAAATTCCCGGAATTTATCCGAGCACTGGAAAGCAAGCACAAAGACGGTAACATTTTTAATATTACATTTTTCATTGTTGTATTTTTATAAATTCCTTATAGTAATCCTCTTATTAAATATTAATATATCTTTAGAAATATACTCTGCGGAAGACTTTTATCCTAAAGCGGAGAAAGCGGAGGCAGTTGAAAGAATTCGTGCTATTAAGGATTGGCTCAAAACTGTAGAAGTAAGAGATTTTGAGAAGGTGTCATTGGATGCAGAACAATTAGATAAGGTATAATTAGATTTTAAACCAAGTTTTCATAAAAATTTTAAAGGAATATTAAAATTATATTTATTTATTTATTTTGAATTTCCAAATACATTAGGAAGCTATTGCGAAAGTTGAAAAAGCCGCTGATGAATATAATAAAAAACAAATTTATTGTAAACTTGTTGTCGACAAAGTTCCACGGCATGTATTACTGAAGCCAGAACATGCCTTAACTCGGTTACAGGGTCAGAATTTCAATCTTGGGGATCGTGTTGTTTTCGTTCAAGATTCTGGTAGGGTCCCAATTGGAGCTAAAGGTACAGTGGTTGGCATCGAGAAATCTAATATAGATGTTTTGTTCGACGTTTCATTCATGAGTGGATCTACATTGGGCGATAGGTTAGTTATAATATTATAACATGTTTTCATTTTTATTCATTTTAGAGCTTTCAATAACAATTATTCATTGCATACAGATGTTCTCCGTATCGTGGAATGACGGTACCTGGATCAACACTTTTAAATTTGACTCAGAAATTCCTTGATTCAAATAATTCTAAAGAATCTAAACATGGAAATAATATTTATAATCACTCAAGGATCAACCAAGGACCAATACGGAATGGTCATAACGCTCATAACGGTAAAGGTTATAACGGTAATGGCCATCATAATTATAATCATAATCATAACAATTATCATTCATATAATAATTACTATGGTCGCGGAGGTGCTGCTGGCCGTGGTGGTATTCAAAATCATGGAATCAATGGTTCACAATATGGGAGGTCCAATAGGCCTCGGGGCGGTTCTGGCGGAATGAATGGATACGCGAACGTGGGTTCGCTTCGCCCACGTTCGTATATTGGAGGATCGATTTATCCTCCTCAAAACAATTTTCGAGGGGGGAGAGGAGGAAGTGCTGGGTTTTTACACCGAGGGAGCAGTCGTGGTGGACATTTCGGCAACGGAATTTCATCACGAGGAAGGGGGAGAGATGATGGGAAAACTTAAGGAAGGTTTCTTAGGTCGATCAGGACCTTTGATCGACCATTTTTTTTTTTATATTGTATATAATATTATAATAAATGTTCTTATGATACGAATCTAATGATAATCTTTAATGATAATCTTTAATTTAAGAGATAATACGCCTTGTTTTTAAATTTACAATTTACTCTCGGTTTTTAAGTTTACCCTAAGATTTAATTTAATACAATCCCTCCATAGCAAAGGTGCATTTTATAAGTTAAAACGTAAATTATTCAGGCTAAATAAAAAAAGAATTTCTGTGGCATTTTTCAAATCTGTAATTTTGTAAAATTTTTATGAATAATCAATGATTTTAGTTCTTTAAAATTATTAATTTTTTTTTTTTCATTTCAATGAATGATTTAATTAAAAATAAAAGCATTTAAGTTCCAAATAACGTTTTTTTATTTTTATTTTTTTTTTTTCATTTTTATTTATTTTTAACATAATCACTATGATAATATTCATATATTTATTTTTTCACTTTATAATCTACATGATTGTTGAGAAGGGAGTTGTTATAACTAACTGAATGAATGAATGAATGACGATCGAAAGACTTTTTTTTAAAAAGAACATTAAAATGAAGAAACAATCATGAAAATCTACAAATATTGAAACAAGAAATATTACTAAAGTCAAGATTTCAATATTGAATAAAGTGAGATAGCGAGATAAGGTATACCCAGCTAAAATATTAATGAAATACCTGTTATAATATAATACAAAGCCATATTTCACATATCGTTGGTGCCTTGCCCACCAACTTTAACTCCACGGTTGAACATCACAACTCCAGCTAACATTTTACTTAAGTGAGTCTTTGTAGATTTAGCAATTTTTTTAGGAGTTTTCTCAAAGGATTTTGAAAAAACTCGTGGTCTAGATGAGTTAATGGTATTCAATTCCACGGAAGGTTTTGGTAAAACACCTGGTGAATGTTTTGGGTCATAAGTCGATTTTTCTTTTTTGGTATCGTTATAATACGAAGGACGTGGCCGTATCTGTCGTTGAGGTACTAGAGTTTCATTTTCTGTTGAAATCGATCCACGACGCCGATTAGAACTCCAAGGTGACGAATGTAATTCTTGTTTGCGTCGTTCTAAACGTTCACGACGTTGATTATAGGAATCCCAATGATTATTACTTGTTAAATTGTTTTCCAATGATGGCTCGCGTTGATGACCTCTAGTTTTTCGTTCGACCCATGGTTTTGGTTTACAATAGATAACTCTTGGTGGAGATACAGACAGAGATATTTTAGCAGAATTGGAATTATCCACATTTTTAAGATCTGATACTTTCTTCGTAATACTATTGATATCTTCATCAGTACCAAATCCAGAATCAGCATCACTATTATTAGCTATTACTTCATCATCTTTTTCATCTTTTTCTTTATTGGCAACCTTCGACTCATCTGACTTCTCTCTAATTTTGATATCCTTACTACTTCTACTACTACAACTAATACTACTATTACTACTACCAATGCTATTACTGCTACTACTGCTAGATTTTACTTTTTCTAATTTAGTGGAATTTGATATATTCAAAGAATCGTCATTAGGATGTTTGTCAATGAATAATACAGGAGCAGTGAAATCCATTTCATTATCAAATTCCCCAAACACTTCTGACCACGAATCATGTTCATCCTGTTTATCCTGTTTACAGATAGGAGAAATTTGTCTGGAAATTAAAGACGACAAATCAGGTGAAGACCTTTCCACATTTCCTTCCTCAGGTAACATTTTTTCTACCAGATTATTGCACCAATTAATCCATTCTTTTACAGTAACACGACCTTCTTCAGCATTACAAAAAACATGTTCGGCTAGGAAGTAAGCAACCTTTCCTGGCATACTTGCAAAACGGTGCATCAAGAAACCGGGTTTGTCTTCTTCAAATGCAGCGAATGATTTGCATTGTTTAGGGTTTGGATCAGACCATGGCGATCGATGATAAATCAAATTGAGAAAGATGATGCCAATTGACCATATATCAGCGAGATATGTATTATAAGTTTTATGAATTGGATTTCGACATTCTGATTATATAAAATAAAGAATTTGTAATTAAATAATGGTACATATAAAGAATTATACAGAAATATCCGAAAAATAATTTAATAAATATAATTTAAATATATATAAAATATATAAATATTTACCATAACTCATGTATGGCTTTGATCCACAATCAAAATCCTCAGATTTTTTTTCATCAGTGGCCAATCCAAAATCTGTCAATTTTACTTGAATCCCATAATTAGTATTATAATTATCATTTATCTTGATTATAAAATTTTCCGGTTTAAGATCTCTATGAGCTACACCTTGACTATGACAATAATCAACTGCATTTAATATCTGTATGAAAACTTGTTGAACTATTTTTAATCGTTCCATTTCAGATAATTGCTTCCCTGTTTTTGGATCTCTGCTGTCATTATTTTGAGTTAACCAATAATATAAGTCTTGACCTTCACAATATTCAAGTACTAAGAAAAGCCAATCAGGAGTTTCAAAATAATGATCAAGCTTAACTATATTAGGATGTTCCAACTTTTTATGAATGTGAACCTAAAATTACGTAAAATTACGAAAATTACAATGATTAACAAAAAAAATTACTTAAATTGGATTATATAAATAAAAACAATAAATAAATTAAATTAAAATTTGTACCTCATTACGTTGAACATCCAAGTGATATGATGATAAATTTAACTTTGATAAACATTTAAGTGCGTAATATTTATTAGTTGATTTCTCGCGCACCATATACACTACAGCATAAGAACCATTGCCAAGTGGTCGGATAAATTCAAAGGAAGTACCATCTTTAGGATTATCAATTGTTGTTCCAATATCAAAAGGCAAAATGACAGGTGAGGATAATGGACCAGACCGTAATGATGGTTGATAAGGTTGATAATGTAATAAAGGATCTTCCAAATTAATCATAGGTTTAACTGGTGTAGTTGATGATCTCTTGAACATCATAATTATATAAAATGTTTCTTTTTTAGTAAAAAATATATCACTTTTTTTTTTGAATAATGAATAAATTGTATATTTGTATATTTTTTTTTTATTTTTTTTTTAAAAATTAATTTTTTTGAAAGGATTATTTTTTTGAAGTATTTTTTTCCTTCAAGAACCGGCTTGAGTTTAAAAAACTTTCTTTAAAAAAAAAAAAATCGTAAATCAGAATCTTGACTAATATGTTGTTGAGAGAGAGGGAAAAGAGAGAAAGCAGGGAATGTAATTAAACTCAAGTAAGATATGTTTTTAAGATAATGTTCGACAGACTTTCGTCGCCGGTGGGAACAGAGATATAAAGAAGATACCAATCGAAGCTTTGAAGCTTTTGATGGGAAAATACTAGTAAACTAGTGTCCAAATACGTTGATAACGCGATGGAATTTATGTCTGTAGTTTTGAATGAAAATAAGGTCATCTTTTTGTAAACAAGGTTCCTTTTTTTTTTAAAACGCCATACTGATAAAATGTCGGTTAAATGTTAAAATTATTAAAGAAATAAAAAAAAATATTAAAAAAAAATTTAAAGGAAAATATGTAAATGATGTATAAATTGTTATATTACAAATTAAAAGATAATTTTTATTTGAATTTCTTAAAAAACGGAGGGAGGAGTTAGTTTATTTGAAATTCAAACAAATATTAATAAAACAATAATAGCTTGAATATTATGGAATCGTGTTTCGAAGTTTTGGATTTTGTTGTTTTTACGCACGATACCAGTATAATCAATGTTTTAAAAAAAGAGTGGGTTTTCTTGCATAACTAAAAGAGGTGTGATACTCGTTTTCTTGTTGAACTCTGTTGAACTGTAGAACTAGCAACTAGAAACTTTTATTTAAATTATTTTAAATAAAAAAAAAAAGTGAATTTTAGAACATAATGAAACTGCCGAAAAGGCTCGAACAAACAAAAAAAAATAATAAAAAAAAAAATGGAACCGAACCAAGAAATTTTTGGAAGAGTAAGATGTTGACAACCGAGCAAAGGAAGAAAGTAAAAAAACTGGTGTCCTGATATGTTTTTTCTGTCAGTAATAGCACGTTCAAAAGGGCACAGAAAAAGTTGAGTCCCGCAAATTATTATAAATGCTCCCAGAAAAGTGTCGACCAAGGAAGTGAGGGACGCTTTGCTTTGACTAGAGAGAATTTTATAGGTATCTCTACTTGTTCAGTGTTCAGTCTAGAACAGATTTGATGGGACGGTAATAAAAATTGAGACTCAGTCAAAGCGTCATTGTATTTGTACAGAACGCCAACACCAACACCATATTTATATATTTGCCAACATGGTTTGTCCTACATTCACACACTCCCCTTGCTCTTTGAAAATTAATAATAAATTTTATTTATTTAATTAATTGGAAAAAGATATAGTTGGAAATGTGGAAATGTCAACTGAAACAACAAATTTAACCACACAAAAAAAACAATTGATAATTATGTATTTTTGTATTCACATATTTTTGATTAAAAATTCCTTGGTACAAAGGTTTCTGCCAGTTTTATATTTTTATATTCTTTATTTAATCATAACTTAATAATAGTTTAATAATAAAAAAAATAAAATAAAAATAGAACTTCAAACCCACATATTTAATAATGAAAAAATAAAATAAAAATAGAACTTCAAACCCACATTAAAAAAATAATATTATTATATAGTTTTTGGTCTGTTATATAAAATATTTGATTGTTATAATTAAAAAATATATAAATTACTGTATTTTATCAAATCACGTAATGATGACTCGATGGCTCGGACATAAAATATATAAAATCATGGGATTTGTTTTCCTTTTCGGCAAAATAAGACATACACAAAAGTTAAAAGGATAATGAATTTATGACAAGAAAATATCTTATTTTTGGGGGATTTTTTAACCTTAGGTGGTACCACGATTCAAATAACCTTTAAACACAATGCAAATTAAAACGTGTTAAAAAAAGAATGAATATTATTTTGCTGACTGATTACTATTTTCAGAAACAAGATATTGTTTGCGTGCTTTGTATTTATATATAACTGTAACATGACCAATTAAAAAGAGATCTTTAAAAATTTATGAAATTTAATAAGCACGTGACTCAAGTAGCCCTTGATAATTTTTTTTTTTTTTTTACAAAAAATTATATAATTATATATAACGTTGGGAGATTTTTTTATTTTATTTGAACATGCCGTACTATCGTCTTAAAGGTACATTACTTTTTAATTTTATTATTAAAGATATTATATAACATTTTCTTAACTGTTTTTCAACCAAAGATCTCATAAAGGCAATTCGAGCATGTAAAACTGCCGCCGACGAGAGAGCAGTTATTCAGAAAGAGTCGGCAGCAATTCGTACAAGTTTTAAGGAAGAAAATAATGATTCTCAACATTCAAATGTGGCAAAATTACTTTATATACACATGCTTGGATATCCGGCTCATTTCGGTCAAATCGAATGTTTAAAATTAGTTGCTTCGAATAGGTTCGCCGATAAAAGATTAGGATATTTAGGAATTATGCTCTTATTGGATGAAAATCAAGAAGTTTTGACGTTGGTAACGAATTCATTGAAAAAGTATCCTTTAATCATTGAAGATCAATCAATAAAAATTAGATCATAAACATTTATCGATTCAAAATAATTTAATTGTCAATTTATCTTTGACACGAAAATTTAATTTTTGAAATTTTAAAAATTGTAAATCAGTGATATGAATCATTCCAATATGTACATTGTTGGTTTGGCATTATGTACCTTAGGAAATATATCTTCTCCCGAAATGGCAGGTGACTTATGTACAGAAGTTGAAAAAAATTTGGGTAGTTCCAATACATATATAAGAAAAAAGGTTAATTTAATTGATTTTATTTTGATTTTTTTTTTTTTTTAAAAAAAAAAATTTATTGTTAAGCATCATTATTGACATTTCTAAAATTAAAATCAATAAAGGCCGCATTGTGCGCAATGAGAATAATTCGAAAAGTTCCGGAATTACAAGAAAATTTTTTAAGTAGAGCAAAAGCTCTTTTAAGTGATAGAAATCATGGAGTATTATTGACTGCAACTACTCTTATAATTGAGATGTGTTCAATAAATTACGAAACATTACAAACATTTCGCAAGGTCAAAATAAATTATTTTTAAAAAATATATATATATATATTTATTTAATTTGATTATTATAAGTATCATTTATTGACTGATGAATTTTTATTTATAGGCTGTACCATTGTTAGTTAGACATTTAAAGAGTTTGGTTTCTGCCGGATTCTCACCTGAGCATGATGTAACCGGTGTTACTGATCCGTTTTTACAAGTAAAAATATTGAAATTATTACGAATTTTAGGTAAAGGAGACGCTGAAGCAAGTGAAGCAATGAATGATATTTTGGCTCAGGTTATGATCCATTTTATATTTATTTTTTCTTTCTCTCTCTTTCTCTCTCTTTCTCTCTACTTTTCATTACAATTCAATTTATGAAAATCCCTTTTTTGATATATATATATATATAGGTTGCTACTAATACTGAATCCTCGAAGAATGTTGGGAATTCAATATTATATGAAACTGTACAAACCATTATGGAGATTCAATCCGAAAGTGGACTTCGTACTTTAGCCATAAACATATTAGGCAAATTTTTGACGAATCGAGATAATAATATTAGGTAACAAAATTATTACATTTTATCTTTATTTGAAATGATTTACTCTACAATCTTAATTCGATTTAATAATTCTTATTAGATACGTTGCATTGACTACATTAAATAAAACGGTGTCAATAGACACCAACGCAGTTCAACGTCATAGGAATATTATTCTTGATTGTTTACGAGATGGAGATATTTCTATTCGTCGTCGTGCACTTGAACTTTCATTTGCATTAATTAATGAATCAAATGTTAGGGTGTTAACACGTGAATTGCTAGCATTTTTAGAGGTTGCTGATAATGAATTTAAACCAGCAATGACCACAAAAATTTGTTTAGCTGCTGATAGGTATTATTTTATTATTTTATTGTTATCTTGATTATCTCGATTATATTTTATTATTTTACATATTGATTATATTTTATTATTTTACATATTGATTATATTTTATTGTTATTTTTTTAATAGATTTGCTCCTAATAAGCGTTGGCATATTGACACAGTATTACGCGTCTTGAAATTGGTTTGTTGAAATATACATTATTTGATTATATTTTTTTTTTGTGTATGGGAAATATATTAAATACATTAAATATATATTTTTATTCGAGTAGGCTGGTAACTATGTTCGCGAAGAAATATTATCAAATTTTATTCGTCTAATTGCCCAAACTCCCGATTTGAACGCATATACGGTGCAAAAGTTATATGCAGCATTAAAAGCCGATATTTCCCAGGTACTTTTTTATTTTTTATTTTTATTTTATTTTTTAATGATCTTCATTTTATCATTTTATCATTTTATAGGAATCGTTGACATTATCTGGTGTATGGGTAATTGGGGAATATGGTGATATATTAATTAAAGGTGGTAGTTTTGAAGAAGAAGAACTTGTTAAAGAGGTATGTAAATAATTTATATAAAGTTTATTAAATAAATGGGAAAGTCTATTTTTTTTTGTTTTCTATAATAAAGAGAAATTTTCAGGTTACAGAAAAAGATGTCGTTGACCTAATGGATTCCATTCTAGCTGGTCCATATGCTAATCAAGTAACTCGAGAATATATTCTTACTGCACTTATGAAACTAACTTCACGTTTAGTGTCAACATCAGTAATTCATCAAATTCAAGTTATTCTTGAAAAATATAATACTAGTATTGAAGTGGAAATACAACAACGTGCGATTGAATATAGTAATTTATTTAAATTTGAGAATATTCGACCAGCAGTTTTGGAAAGGATGCCAGTTCCGGAAATTAAGGAAGAAAATAATCGGCCAAGTATGGATTTAATTTAATATAAATTTATTAATATTATTTATTAATATTATTTATTTATTATTATTATTATTATTATTATAGATTATTATTATTTATTATTATTATGTATTATTATTTATTAATTGTTATTTATTATTATTTATTATTTTATTTTATTATTGTAGCTTATGAATCAGATTCCCTTTTGGATGATGGTAATTCTAAGAATGGTGGTGTTGATGTAAGTTATTCTTAACTAGCATTTTTGTTATATTTTATTTTATTTTATTTTACTGTTATATATAAACTTTAATTTGTTTTTTCTTTTAAAAAGTCACTTTTAGACTTCAGTGAAGATGCCACAAATCCTAAAGTATCAATTGTTCCCGAAACCACACAAAGTACAGTTGATATTTTGGCAGATATTTTTGGTGGTGGTGGTTCCACGAATACAAATTCAACAATCACTACCAACGAAAATATTATACCTAATGAAGATATTATAGGGATTTTCAATTCTATTCCAAATATAAATTCAAATATACCTACAAATATGCCTACGCAGAATATACAGCAAACGAATGCTTTGGATAATCTTCGTTTGACGGGTCTATTAGAACTTAATGCTCCTTCTGTTCCTTCAATTTCTTCGAATCTTGATGTATTTTCTTTGACACAACCTGAACCTGGTAAATTTTAACTCTATATAGTTAAATATTTTTATAATATCACATGATTCACTTTATTTTTTATTAACTTTTAGAAAAATATGTTGCGTACAATAAGAATGGGTTTAAGATTACTTTGGATCCTTCTAAAGATTCAACTAACCCTCGAATTATCAATATTAGTGTTACGTTTCACAATATTTCTGTAGGGGCAACTGTACAAAATCTATTATTCCAAGCTGCGGTCTTAAAGGTACACATTTTTTATATTTTACATATACATATATATATATATTTATATATGAATATTTATTTTTATTTATATTTTATAGGGACAAAAATTACAAATGCAATCACCGTCATCAACAACTATTGCCCCAGGAGCAATAGCTCAACAGATGATTCGTGTTTCTAACCCTCAACAGGTTTGTTAAAGAATATATTGATATATAGACTGTTATATATTAATATGTATATATATATATTATTATCTACTAATATAAATTATTATAAACTAATACCTAATTTACACTAACATGTATATAAACTGATATAAACTAATAGATAAACATTAGATTACGCCTTAGAATTTCATATACAACATCATCAGGCACAAAAGTAGATGAAGTGTTTGATTTTAATGCATTTCCACAAGAATGTTGGTGATGATGGATGATATTATTAATTTTTTATTTTTTTGCAATAGATAAAAAAAAAATTCACAAATATTAATGAATATTAATGAATATATACATAGTATATACATATTTAAAAATCTTCAGAATTTTATTAAAAAAAGAATTGGATGAATGAATGATAAAGAAGAAAGGAAAATTAAGTTTGGAATTAATTATGTAGATGTATTTGTTTTTTTATAAAAATTTAGATAAAATATTATAAAATTTTTTTTTTTAATATTTAATCTAATAATTTTATTATATTTTCACTTTGATTATTTAATTAATATATGTAATTGTGGAATTTTATGTGGAATTCATATAACAAGTTAAATAGAAGAGAGAGAGAGAGAAACAAAAAGAGAATTCTTTTATACTGTACAATTAATGTATTTAATATTAAATTATAAAATTACATTAAATAATTAACATTTAATTTATTCAAATTTTATGAAATATAACCTTCCTCAAAATTTAAATTATCATGATCTATATTAAATGATTTACTCGAGAATTTACTACTGGAATTTTTTTTATGACCACCAAAACTTGTATTATAATTATTATTATTATTGTTATTGTTAAGATTTCCATTAATGAAAGTTTCTTTCATAGTTGTTGAAGATGTTGTTGAACTAGATTTTCGATGCATCGGAATATTATTAATATTATTAGTTGAAAAATAATTATCATTAATAGCATTAATAGGAAAGTTTGGACTTATTGGACTACTATTTCTACTATTATTATTATCATCATCATCATCATCATTATTATTATTAGAAATGGAAGATGCAGTTCTATGATGCACTTTACTTATAGATCTTATCGATGATCTTGATGAAACAGATGAATGACGATGCCTTTGTTTATAATGTTGCGATGAACATTGTTTATTATTATTAGATTGTGATGAAACATATTCATTTCTAATTTTATGCTGTGGCTGTTGTGGTGGTTGTGGTTGTTGTTGTGAAGAAGAATTTTGTCTACTATGATAATGTTGCGTAGGTGAATTAGGTGATGAATTTATAGATTGACTCTTCTTATGTAATTGTGTCGAATTCTTTGGGAGACCAGCGAGTTCGCGAACAAAATTGATTTGACTTAATATAAACTTCCATACTAAAAACCATGCTATTATTCATAAATTAAAGTAAAAAAAAAATTATAAATCAAATTTAAAAAATGAATGCGTAATAATAATAATAATAATCGAATTAATAAAAAATAAAAAAATAAAAATTTTACCTATTAAAATAACAATTGTCACCATCAAAAATGAACCAACTATGTACATAAATATGTTTAAAACATCCATTAAGGTAACACCCCACATAATGGCACGTGGGTTGATTATAATACAAGTAAGGAAAGTAGGAAAGTAGAAGAATAATCTTAGTATAGAATATGTCGAATGCAGAATATGTAGGAAACTGGATGTGATCGAAGGAAAAAAATGAAAAATCCGGATGATATGTAGTTTTTTTTAAAGAATAAGTTAATGAAAAAAAAAATAAAATAATGAAAAAAAACGTGGGAATAGTTAATATATTTATATATATTTGTAAATGACATCAGAATTTTCCTAATCTTTCCCAAATAAGGAAGGTTACTCGAAATGCAAAAAACAAAAAAGTAAAATGGTAATATTATTAATATTATATTATATGAGGGCGCAACAGTTGCATCAGCCGCAACAAGTCGATTAGCACAAACTTCAGTTATCATATTTTTTATATTTGGGATAATTTTTTGAAATAAAAAGTTTCGATATAACAAAAATATACAAGTCACTCTTTTATTTTTATTAATTGAATTATTCTTTATTTTTATTATTTTTTATTAATTGAATTAGTCATTATTAGTCATTATTAGCCATTATTAGTCATTATTAGTCATTATTATACGTCACATCCATCATAATCTTTAGCTTCTTCACTATCTTCACTATACAACACTTTAATTGCTTTTAAATATTTTGAAGATTTATACAAATCACCAATAGTTGTCTGCATTAAATCAAAACTAACTGCAATTCTACCATTATCATCTTGGAAAGTAGGTACTTTAGGATACCTTTGACTGAAATGAGTTAATAATGTATAATGTGCTTTCATACTAAATAATAAATAAATAAAATAAATAAATAAATAAATATATATATATATAATAATAATAATAATAATAATAATAATTAAAGATTCATATTTTATATAAAAATAAAATAAAAATAAAAATAAATAAATAACATTTACCGCACACCAATTTGTACTGCTTCATCTGCTGTACTATGTTTTTTATTTAATGCTTCCTCAATCAAATCATTTTCAAATGTTGCTTCATGAATTAAAAGTGTCGCATTTTCTCCAACATTAACAAGATTATCACATGGACGCGTATCACCAGAATAACTAAGAATAAAAAATTATCAGTAAAAAATAGAATAATTTTAAAAAATTAATTTGAATAAAATTTTATCAACACTTACACAATTTTCCAACCATCTAAATGTTCAAAACTTATTCCAAATGAAGATGGACAATGAATTACTTCCACACTTGCAATATTCTTTAAACCTATTGAATTTTTCAAACTTTGTACACTATAATATAATATAATAATATTAATTTAAATAAAATATAATAAATGAGAATATAATATAATATGATAAAATATAATCTAATAATAATATAATCTAATAATAATATAATCTAATAACAACATAATATAATAATAAATACCGTCTCAATACTGAAAGATTTTGTTGTCTCAAAAATAAAATATCACGACAATCTATAAATTTCACTTTGGAAATTCCGAAATCTTGAACATCACTTAATTCATCAAGCCATTTCCATAACCTTGGAGGTCCGATAAGATGAATAAATGCATTGTCATTTTTATAATTAAGCTATTATCTTGGCAGAAATAAGTTCGTTGTTATCAAATAATTATGAATTTTTAGAAATAATTTATTTAATTTATTTAATTTAATTTAATTTTAATTTAATTTAATTCATACCTCATTCCATTTTGATAATATACGAGTCAGACCCAAATGATGATCCGCATGCATATGTGATATAAAAATACATTTCAAATCATACAAACATTTCTCTATTCCCATTTTATCTCCATGTTTTCCCAAATGTCTTGTGAGTGAAGAATATGTACCCTCACCAACATCAAGTAAAATGCATCCATTATTTGGTATGGTAAGAAGTGTTGCTGTTACTATTTAAAAATATCGTGATTTTTTTTTTTTTTAATTTTTATTTTAAGAAAATTATACTTTAAATAAATTTTTAATCTAAATTATTTTTTACCATTTCTATATTTAGAAGGCAGAGTAGATCCGGTTCCCAAAGTTGTGACGACAATATCTTTCCCAGGAATATCTTTTGAAATATTCGAAATATTTGCAACTTCTTGTCGAACTTCAGTTGCGATATTGAGATATTCATCCATTTTTTCTAATGAACTCACAATCTCAGAATCATGATCATTATGATTAAAGATATTAGGTAAATTTGATTCATCAATTTTAAACGAAGGTTCTGTTTGATAAATTAATAATGGAATTGCAAACTTTGTGTTTTTTGGAATATTCGGAACTAAAGTAAAAATTTTATTATCAATAATTATCAAATTAAATCAAATCAAATTAAATTAAAAATTAAATTAAATTAAAATTATCAAATTATAATATTTAATATTAATTTAAAATTTAAAATTTTACCTAAATTTAATTGTTTTGATGGTTCGTTTGAATAATAAGGTATACGGAATTGGTTTTCATCAATCTTAGATAATTTAAATTGACTAGTTGCTGTACTATGAAACATTATTCTCTGTGGACAATATTGTTCATTTATAATCACGTGCTTCAAAATAACAGAAATTAAATTAAATTAAATTAATTTGTAAATAAATAAATAAATAAATAAATAAATTATTATTTAATTAATTAAAATTAATTTATAATAATACCTCAGTTTCTGGTCCAAACTTTTTCATCCATTCTTGATATCTGTTATCTTCCAAAACACCATTTCCCAACATATGAACTATAACACGTGGTTGTAAATCTTTATTTCCAGATTGATATAAAACAAATTCTGATGATTCATATATTGAATTTATATATGATGTTGATGGAACATCTATAATAATAAATATCTGCATAATCAAAAATAAAATAAATTAATTAATTAATGAATTTTATATATGATTTTCTAGTAAAATAGTAAAAAATAAAAATCAATTAATAATAATTATTACCGAACCAGCTCTGGATGGACCAATTACTTGATGTGGATGAATAATTGTTCCATCTGCTGTTGTTACTGAATTTCCTTTAACCAATTCAGCTATAATTAAATTATAGAATATGAATATATTTGAGAGAACACTTATATAAGAAATAAATTCATCAAAAATTTTAAAATATTATCGTACAATAATGACGTCCTGGTAATAATCCAAGTGCTTTAGCTGCTTCTGGATCAAATTTTCCTTTATAATCTGGTCCTTTACATATATAAGCAATTGAAGTTGAAGAAGGAATTGATTTAGGTAACCTTTTAGGAAACAATTCTCTACGTCTTTGATCTAAATATTTCTTATCATCACTCTTCTTAGATGATGATATCCATTTATTATTATTATTATTATTATTATTATTGATAACTTTTTCATTAATATCTTCATCAGGAATATCTAATGCTGTATCTTCCTCACGTGTTTGCGTTTTTGTTTTCTTTGTTATTAATAACTTTGGATCATCAGGTCGTGAACTTAAATTAAACATTAATGATAAAATTTCTTTTTTATATTTTAATGTAGGATCATATTCATTTTCTTCTTCTCTAGCACGTTTTTCTGGAATATCAACTCTATCCGAAGAAGAAGAAGAGGGAGCAGCTGGAGATGTGATATTCTCCGGATTAAGAAAAATTGTTTTAATAAATAAATTTTCATCCTTAAATTCTGTTCCATCCTCTTGAAATTCATGAGTTTCAACTAACATGGTAGACCTAAATTTATCATTACGTAATTATGAAATCAAAAATATTGAATTGTTGATTAAATGAATGAACGAAATTGATTTATTTATTTTTTTTTTTGCCTTAAAATGAATCCTCTAGTTGCTGCTAGTGCATGCGTCAAGTTTTTGCCACCATATAATTTTATATCTTTTACACCAGCATCGGCCAATGTAAGCAACATGCCTATTCAAAAGAAATATAATATAATAATATTATTATTACTTAATAATACTTAATAATACATAACAAATAATAATACATAATAATACATAATAATACATAATAATAATATCAAAAAGTACCTGGAATTCCACCAAAACTTTCCCAATTAATTCTGGTAAAAAAGATTTTTTTAATTTTTGAAGCCTTGATTTTATGTTGCAAACAAAACCTTTGAGTTCCTTCACCACAATTAAATAAATATCTTTGACTATGTTTTTGATTATCGAAATGTACTAATATCGCGGGAGGAACGTCAACGGTTCCACTACCAAAAATTTGTACATAGGATTTCATTTTTGTGATAGAGGTGGTTGAAAAAGAATTATGATTATTTGAAAATAATTTTATGAAAATGGAAAAATGTGAAAAAATGGAGGGTCTGAATCGACCTGCGGATGTAATTTTTGATAAAACCAACTTGAATAAAATTATTTATTAACAACATAAAAAGATGAAATAACAGAAAAAAACATGAAAGATTAAAGATTATAATTTCGTAACGTGACTTTATTAAATATATTATATTGTAAAAATTACATACTACATAATATAAACTTAAATAAATTAAAAATTATTCTATAAATTGAAATTAAAAATTAAAATTAAAAATGTAGTTAAAGTATTATTATTAAATATTATTTTATTTTCCTTATTCTTTCATCTCTTCTATATAATCCACTTTCTAAAATTGCATATTTTTCTTTCTTCGCTTTATCCCATCCATTATTCATATAATATTTAAAATCATTACGCCTTAATCTAATTTTTAAGTGTAAATGCGCAAGATTTCGTGAATTGCCATGATTTAAAGTCATAGAAATAAAACTAATAAAATTAATCATTCCATTTTTTCCCGAAATTCTTTGTTCTTCTTCAAGAGTTTGTATTGAAAGTAAAAACATTGAAAATATTTCTTCTTCAGTACATTCCGATAATCTTTCTACATGACGAATAGGAGTTATAACAAACATTGGTCTGGCTTTAGCATCTATCCAAAGATTATGAAATCTTTCTTTGGTAGCTAATGGATAATCTAATTTTGAAGTTTTACTTGTCTCGGATTCTAAATCACAAGACATACAATTTAAAACTTTGCTAGGAGGTCCTGTATCATTTTCAACAATTTTAACAAAAAATCCATGATAATTTTGATGAATGGTCATTTTAAAATGTTCCATTTTTTTATCCTTCTCTATAATTGTTATAATATTTTGAAAGAATGATACAACTCGATTAAAGATAACACCATTATCTTGTTCAGGTGAATAATGAATCCCACCAAGAAAATCAATTAATTGACAAGGTGTATCCGGATAAAAAATAAATTCTGCGGGTTTAGCAATCATGTTTTTTATATCATTTTTAAATATTGAAGGATAACCTCGCTTATTATGGTTATGGTTATTATGATTATGATTGTTATTATGGTTATTATTATATTTGTTGTAACTTTGTTTTGGTTGCCAAGGGATTGCTTGATCTTTTTGAGAATTATTTTTCATTGTTTTGAGCTCTGACTTTTTTTTCGGAAAAACTCACATTTTTTATTATTGCGCAATAAGTTACACAAGAACTCTGTGTGCAACTAACTAACCATTTTTGAGAAGTATGATGATAAACTGTACGGTACGAAATGCTATTTGGTACTGAACGATTTGCTAAAGTATCGTTTTTGAGACACCTATGGTTATTTTTTTGATACATCAAATACGTGTGACAAAAATGGTCATTTTTTTGATATGTTTATAATTGTTTTATTTATAGATGCATCAAAAAAAATAATATTTTGTTACATGAAATTTGATATATCAAAAAAATAACCATAAATATATCAAAAACAATGCCTTTGCAAATGATTTAGTGATGTGAAACAAATCAGCCCATGTGGAGATGTGCATCCAATTGTCATCGTTCAATCGAAGAGGTCAAACAAATTGCACGTGATTGAAATAGTAACTGTCTTTCTGAATTATTATGGTGCTGTACTATAGACCTTCTTCCTTTGCTAGCATAAAAAATAGTGGCACATGGTGCCTATGATGTATAAACAATCATCATCTTATGCTTGAGGATGCTAAACAGATTACTAATAGTAGAGATGAAAAATGTCTTTCCAAAAAATTTGATAATAGTAAATTAATTTTGTTATGGCATTGTTCTAAAGGACATAAATAATATGCAAAATTTTATAGTATTAAAATTTTTAATTCATGATGTCCTTATTGTATAGGTTACAAATATACACTGGTCGAAAATTGATAAAACATACATATATCGGGTACCCGATATGTGTATGTTTTATCAATTTTCGACCAGTGATACTCTTGAAGATATTAAACAAATTGCTATTAATAAGGGTGGTGAATACCTTTCTTGAGAATATATTAATAGTTATATTCCTTTAGTTTGAAAATATAATAAAGGTCACCAGTGGTCTACAAAACTATATGATATAAAACATCTTAATACATGGTATCCAGAATATGCAAGTAATAAATGGTTCACTCTTGAAGAAACTAATCAAATTGTAACTGTGAAAAATGTTAAATATCTTTTTGAAAAATATATCAACAGTCATCAGGCTTTATTATGACAATGTGCTGTAGGTCATAAATGGTTTGCAAGTCTTGACCATGTAAAAAATAAAAATACATGGTGTCCTGTATATATGTTTTCAAAATTGATTTTGGATTTTGAGATATTTTGACTTTTTGAGATTTATGCAAAATCTATTCTATATATGGAAGTAAAAAAAGTATCCAGTTATATGTATATTCAATCAAAGAATAAATCTGAATAGTCAAAAAATTTTGAATTTTAAGTAAAATAATTTCATCTTTTATAAAAAACTATTTTGACTTTTTTCTTCAAAATTGTAATTTTGAAACCCTAAAATAATTTTGCGTACAAGTATAGTGTCCTAAATATAATCATCATAATATTGAGACAGCAAAAGCTTTGGCACGTACTAAGAATAGAAATGCATTTCTTCAGATTATATAAATAATAAAGCTCTTTTATAATGGAAATGTGATAAGGAACATATATGGATTACAAATTTAAATAAGATAAAAGACTACTATCAATAATATCTTACTTGCAGTAGATGAAATCAAACTATTTTTGATATGAAAATTCTAGTGCAAAAAAATAATAGAGATTGTCTTTCAGAATGATATTGTAATACACATATAAAGCTTCTTTGGTGTTGTGAAAAATCTCATATATGGGAAACTCCTCTGCAAAGTATTCTAAGAAGGCATTGATATTTACTATGTTCACATTTTAAGCATGAGAATCTATGTTGTGAAATTGTATCAAAATATTTAGGAGGACTATCAAAAAATCACAAACTTGATTTTCTAAAAATCTCAGAATATCCTACAGGATTGTAACTTGATATTCCTTATTATTATTATGGTTTCATAATTGAAGTGCAAGGTCAATAGCATGAAAAATATATCAAATTCTTTTATGGAGAAGATATAAAAAATTTTATCAATTAACAATGTTGAGATCAAATTAAAAAGAAACTCTGTGAAGAGAATTGGATCATGTTAAGATATGTTTGGTATTATGAAGATCCATATAAAGTAATTTCTGATATTCTTCGAGAACTGGGTCTTATAGAATAAAGGTAAAACTTTAAATGCTTATCTAACTTAATTATTATTTTTTCAATATAATATTTAATATTACTTAGTGTAATCAGAATGAATGAAGAAAAAATGTCCACATATATATACCAACTGGATGAGATATCCAACAAATCTTCAGAACAAATGAAATCTAACAAATATGCTCCCAACTGGCTGTTCAGATTACTAGTTTGTGGGGGTTCTCATAGTGGAAAAACAAATATGGTTATTAATCTTATGTTGCGTAACAAACTCCAACGTATGCTCAAGAGGAAAAAAGGTGAGCAATATATGGTCTTGTATTAATAGGAAAACATTTTGAGCCAAAATGGAGACTAGTTAAAAATTCTTTTCAGATTTTTGTGAATGGGTCAAAACCATATCGAGAGGATGTTACATTTAAAACAACAACACCAGATAAGATTCCAGATATAACTAAATTCTCTCCAGAACAAAGTACAGTTGCTGTATTTGAGGATTTGTATGCTGAGTCAAAGAAAGTTCAAGAACGAATTATTCCTTACTTCATTAGTGGCTGGTATCAAAATATCTCGCCAATATATGTGTCACAGAAATATACACAAACACCAAGAATTATTTGTGAAAATATCTCACATCTAGCCTTATTCCGGGGCAGTGGAAGTCGAGAAGACATATGCAGAATCATGCGATGATCCAAAAAAAGCATCTAAGATTATTGATAAGCATTTACGAGATCGAAGTTTTGTGATCTTTGATTTCACTAAGTCAGTAGACGATGCTCTCGCAGTTAGACTCGGTTGGGATACGCCACTGAAATTAGATGAATGAGACAAGCAGATTGTTAAATCATAATTTTTCCTGCCATTTTTTGATATAATGGTTTCGCGATTAAGGTTCAGAGGGTCACAACACAAAAATATATCAAATTCTTTCACGCATGGGATCAACTCAAGATGTGAAGAAAAAGACCTTCGAAGGCTCATATATAGTTATTTCAGATCATCTTCGGGAATTTGGTCTCATTAGTAAACTTAAAATTTCAAATGTATTACGGATCACAAGAGAAAGTATCTTCATGAAAATTATAATCATATGTGCATTGTTTTATTTTTTATTACATTATTGAAGATACATATTACTTAATTAGTATACAAATCAATTTTTTTTTTTAATAAATGGTTATAAAATAATATTTCTAAGTTTCTCCCTGCTACTTTACACACTTATTTTAACATGTTTGCCATCTTGATACTTGCATTGCGAAATAATATTGTAACAAGTTTTCCTTCTTCATCTATTTCAATCTCGACATCCTCAACATTCGTTTCTTGGAACGTAGTCGAAACAGAATCTGCAAAGTTAAGCTTAAATACGTCACGTTTCTCATCATAAGTTGGATTAAGTGCAAAGGATGGCTTTTCACTTGCTATCCCTCGAATAAATTTGGGTGGATCATCTATACGAATTGATTTTATTTTGTCGGTGTCATTGTAATATACTAGAAGGTATTTGGTTGCATCTTCACAAAGTTCACGGGGTTCCTCAGTAAAATTTATTACAAGTGCATTTGAATCATCATAGTATGTGAAATTCGCAATGAATCTTAAATACATACAACGTTAAAAACGTCAAGATCCAGATTTAATATAAAATTTGAATAACAAATATTACAAACCTGTCTTTATGAGTACGAGCATCAGAGTAATGTTTATCATTTTTTGTCAAAGTTTCTTGTTTATCGTGCTAAAATATTCATGACAAGATGTGAAATGTGTATAAAAAAATAAATAAAATAAATCCTCCAATCTTATATAAATTTCGTACCCTCTTATTCGGCTTTATTTTTTTGAGAAATTTTCTATATTACAAGTAATTTTTGGTTAATATATAAATACAAGTATAAAAAATTCAAGACAATTAGCTTACTTAATCAGACTCATAGACATCTTTATCCCAGTATCGACGCGCTGACGAACTATAGAAGGTTATTATAGTCCAAGGAGTTTCTCTTACACCTACGACCACACGAAAAACGCTATTGCTACCAGGAATTTAACTGTTGAATTACCGCCCGATCGGGTAAGTCACTCGTGCAACGTTGATCATCCTCGATATAAACTGGTCGAAATTGTCTTTCTGTATAAGTGTAAATTTTCGCTTCAGTTGTCCACCCAAGTTGTAAGAATGAATTTTCAAGTACTAACGACCACGCCCAGTAATTCATTCAGTTGGTTTGTAATCAGAAAATTTCTAAAAAAAACCAAAGATCTTCCTGACAATGAAATAAGTTCACATGAAAAATGATCCTGTTTATTTAATGGCTCGGGCGCATATGATGAGCTAGCTAATATGCTGTCAATTCGTAGATTTAGAAGAAAGAAGGTCGTAGGAAATACTGGGATTTTGAGGTGAGCGTCTTTCTATTTATTCTATTTGTATGTTGTTTAATGCTAATCGGCGGCGTATAGGACCGTGTTGATCGTGGCCTGCTCCTGTACGTCTTCTTTCTATTTGTAGATTTCCTAACGCGAACTGAAACCAAGAAACGATAATAATAAGCGTTTAAAAATTTTATTGCTAGAAAAGCGGAAAATAAAAAAAAAAAAGAAATTTTATGTATATAATTTATATTTGTAATATTTCCTTAATGAATAAAATAATAAAATTTGAAAGTAGTATTGAAATTATCTTTATTTTGAATTATTTTTATTTAAAAATGTTCATTACAATATTAATGAAAGAAAATATAATTTTATTTCACATAAATGATTAAAAAATAAGTGACGTTTTGAGAGAAACTAGTGTTGAGGTATGAGTTGTTCTTCGAAGTCTTTTGCTGTTAAATTCTTCGAGATGAACCTCAATACTGCAAGTGAGATATAAAGTTGAGGAATAGATATATCAGAATCATCATCATCGCCATTACCATAACTACTAAAATTCAAAATACTAACATGGAATCAATGTTGGAAAGGTCATGAATTCTATTTTCATTTAGAAATGCAAAAAACAATAAAACTTGGTGTAGAATTTTCATTAAAGATAAGTGTATACTTGAAATAATATTTTTCTTCATATATAAGTTTTTATTTTACTAATAAAACGTGATAAGCGTGATAAACGTATCTTAAAGATCTTCAAAGAAAATTCTTATTCTAAACCTTATTCGATCAACTAAGAAAAGATGTGTTCATGATATTATGAAACTACTATATCTTAGTGAATAGTTGAAAATTTTTAACAATTCCATATTATTTTTATTATAATTTAATAATTAATTCCAAACATTAATTTAATAATTTAAAATTTATTTATTTAATCTTTTTCAACAATACGTTGAAGATGTCCTTCAATCTGTTCGACTGATAATGTTCGGAATTTAGGGTCATCCTGTGTGACAACTCCAACTTCGATTTCGGTTGCTTTAAAGTCAGCCGATAAAACGGATGAGAGAGTATTTATTGCTAACTTTGTAATTGAAAAAAAAAAAAGAAAATACATTTTAGTTTTGAATGTATAATTTAAATTTAAATTTAATTAAATAATAATGATACTTTAGATTATAATAAATTTTAAACGACATACTTCTACTGTTTCTTCAAAATTTAGGGAAGGATCCTTTTTGAGTTTTTTCTCTAAATGATTTAATGATTCTTGCTGTTTAGCACCAGCAGCCGTAGCTTTATATCCGACATAATAACCAGCTGGATCACATTTAAAAAGTTGTGGACCTCGTTCTTCATCGTACCCAATTAGGATCATTGCTAGAATAAGAATGAAATGTTTAGTTTTTTTTTTCAGACAGAACAAACCGTCAATTCTATATTTTATGTATAACTTACAAACACCCAAAGGTCTCATGGCTGCGTGTTGCGTATAAACTTGGTTTATATTAGCAACTCGCTTTGCAATCATATCTGTAGTAATGTGATAACCAAATTTATATTTAAAGTCCGCGGCTTCTTGCTGAGCACGAACTACTTGAGCTCGAGCATCGGCTATTTTTTTTTAAAAAAAAAATCATAAATCATGAAAAACGAGCGAGTTGAAATATATTAAAATCTACATAATAATCTTACCGATCATGCCAGTCATAACACAACCAATGTATGGAGTCAATCTAAAGATATGAGTAACAGTGGAAGGATCTAATAATTTATCCTATTTGTAATAAAAAATAATAATAATATGTTTAAGAATTCTAACAATTTTATTCGGGGAAAACGCGAATTACTTACCGGAATTTTTTTTTGAGTCACAATAACTACACTATCTTTACCACGAACACCAACTGAAGTTACACCTGAGTTAGATATCGCCTTGAATGCATATTCTGAACATATAATAGAATTCATTTAATATAACTCGGAATTACACGATTTTAAGATTGCATTTAAATTATCATATTTTATAATACGTACCAACTTGGTAAAGACGTCCCTCAGGAGAGAAAATAGTAATGTGACGATCGTAACCTGCACTGGATCCTAAGTTATCAAGTCATATAAAATGTTTTAATATACAATGAAATTTTATAAATTACGAATGGCTTTGTCACGACTTTACCCACGATTCATGTCGAGAAGATTGAGGATCTATTTCAAAATATTTAATGTTATTTATTATATGATTGGTTCGTTCATAAATTCTGGCCAAATTATAACGTCGGCCCGTACTTAAAAAATATTTCGATCACAAAAATTACGAAATCGTTATTAAATAATACAGGCATGCATTTTTTTTTTTTGATATATTTAGTTAAAAATAAATTTATCGTCATTATAAATATTGTTATATTGTTTGAATTTGGTTAAACTCAAAGTGATCTTTATCCTAATTAAGCCACATGAAGTTTCATTCTTTTGAAGTGTTAACAAAAAATAAAGTTCGCTTCGTTAAATATTTTTATTTTTCATCTTAAGCAATTTCCGTGATACTGATTTATGTTTGCGTTTATATTCTTTAGTCATATCACGCGAAGTATCTTGCCAATGAGATATTATTTCCTCACTAATTAACAAAAAAAAAAGGTTTCAAATTTAATTAATTAAACAAATATATTGAATTTGAATAAATTCAAATAGTATACTAACACAGGTAAATTTCTCATAAAGATCTTTAAATCTCGATAGTGAGATCTATAAAAGGAACGAAGTTAGTCTATGAATCAAATTTTATAACTGAAATAATAATTGGTATAATCTAATCCAACCTCTTAGAAAGGTCGGGATTCTCAAAATGGAAAAAGAACAAGGGACCAGAAGATCTTATCTCATTATCTTTAATTTGAGATGACGTTGTAGTTTTATGGTGCATTGATGGTAAAGATTCTTCATTAGTTTCATCAACTTTATGATCATCTATTGTTTTGTCTGTGTTATCTTCGTTAGCGCTAAAGAGTGAGAAGGTCTCATCTATAAATATAAAACAATTATAAACAAATATAAAATAAAAATATAAAATAAACATAAATCAATTTTCAATTTACATTTAGGTGCGCCAGGGGCAAAAATTCCTTTTAAATCTGCATTTATTTCGACTTTTATTTCCTTTGATACTATCGGTAAAGGATTTGACATTGATATTGGCGCTTCTAAAAAATTTAGTGTATTATATTCAAATTAATATTTTAATATCTAATGTCGAAAAATGACATTATTATTGATTTACCTGATGATTCCTCTTTAATGTCGTTTCTCTGTATTTCAAACGACTTTGCCTCTGGAGCATCTGGATCGAAATGAACCATTTCTTTCCATTCCGGTTTTCTACCAAATACACATAAATTTGGTTTGCATAAAAACATTTTTTTAATGAAAATCATTTTTTTTTCGTATTTACTTTTTGGGTGATTTAAATTCCAGATCATTTCCAAGAAGTGAATTCAAGATTCCCAATCTTTTTGATTTTTCTTCTTCCAATGATTTTGATATTTCATCGTCAGATTCAAAATTTTGATCTGCAGAAGTATTCTGTTCTACATTATTTTTTTCATCATCAGAATTAATGAAATCTTCATTTAATTTAAAGCGGTTGTCACCACGGAACTTTTTCTGAAGATTGAGAAGTTCTTTCCCTGAAGGCCCTTCAAATGTGGGATTAATTTTTATATCTAAAATTGAAAGTTGTATAAAATTTATATAAATTTATATATACAACTATGCATATATATATTTTTTTTTAAAAAAAAAATCCAGGATATCGAAAATAACCCATAGATGTTTCTTCGGAATCGGAGTCAATCAAACTAATTTTTTCTGGTAACGCGTTGGTCGTCGAGTTTTCATTATCGGGGAAAAATATATGATTGTTTGATTTCTATATACAAATGAATCATTAATAAATAATAATAACAATTTATTTCGCTACTTGAGAAAAAATATATATATTGGAATGTTACAGTTAGTTCGCCATCATTTCTTAATGCCCGCGTTATTTTTTCCATTTTGTCATTTTTTTGCTGTGCACGTTTTTCGAGAGCTTCCAGACGAATTTGATTAGATTTTTCCTAAATTTTAAATTAATTAATTCCTATCTTGTGGAAATAAAATATAAATTCTAAAAAAAAAAAAAAAATGCTATCTACCTCTTTCGATGCACTTTTTTCATTTTGAATTTTCAATTTTTTGAGGCTATCAATTATTGTAGGTGGAAGAGATTCTACTGATTCTGTGGAATTTGAATGTTGAGTTTCTCTGTTTGCATCATTTTCATCATTTTTACCAGATTCACCATTTTCGCCTTTTACGTCATTGAACCAATTTTGAGTAAAAAGATTCAAATAACTTTCATCGTTTTTCACAGTAATGTCTTGATCATTTTCGGAAAATTTTATCAGATTATTATCATATTGACTAGGATCTATCGTAACCTTTTAAAAATGGAAAGTGAGATTTCATATATGATAATCTATATAGGTACATCTATTAATTTCATTTACCTTCATTCCATTCTCTTTTCTAACACGCATGACTGCAACGGCGTGTCCACATCTAGATTTTTTCCATCCCTAATTAATTTATGGATTAAATTAATGAATTAAATAAATTCTTTTTATGACATCTATGTGTAATCACAAACCTTTCTCCCCTCAACATTATCATCTGTCACCAAATTCATATCATCAGCGTGTTGGGGTTTATATTTACGTTTTTTAGGTAACATAGATTGCATGTTGTCAGATTCATTTTGACCTTTCAATTCTTCTTGTAACCTATAAAGTTATCGCGAAAACGTATTAACTTCGCGTCTACATGTGATTTTTTGTGATCGATGATTTAAAATAGGAATAATGCACTTAGTGAATAATTGATTTTAAAAGATATACCTTTGTTTATAACTAGGCTTCGCGTCTTGGACCTTTAATGTCATTCCTTTCCATCTGGAACCATTGTAAAGAGATAAACCTTTATTATTAAAAACGAATTTAGAGATTAAAATGTGTCACAAATTTGATTATCCAGTATAATTAACATGTAAATAATTATTACATTTTTTCCAATTATTTGTTGTCAAATTGATTGTAATATATGCAAACCCTCGGCAATCTCCTATTATGCATGATAATAAATCTATGTCGTCATAAATCTTATATACTCCTTATTTTTATTTTTATTTTTTTTTTATTTGAAGTTTTATTACGAATTTACCTGTATCTGAATGGCGTATAATATCTACTTCAGATATACTTCCGAAAGGAACGAAGCGAGCTTTGAGATCTTCTTCGGTGATGTCCTTGGGAAGACCTCCCACAAATGCGCGTTTTTCCAAAAATTCCATGGATATGTTGAGAAACGTGTACAGATCAAATTTTCGTGTGAATATATAATAAAATTGGAAATATATATCGTGATATCAATTCGATCTCGTGGTACATTGTACAATAAATCAGGCCACATCAAATCTAGACCCCCATATAAATAAAATTTTTTAAAGTAAAATTCACGTGAAATATACTGGTTAAGAGGGTTTATGATAAATTTATTCATTAAAAATAACCAGCCAAAAATTTTTTTTTCCAATATTCTCAACGGTTCTGATCAAATTTTTAATTTTTTGACCGTAAAAAAAAAAAAAAAATATAATATATTATTTTATTTCTGAAATGACTAGTCAAATTATTGTCGTAGGTGGTGGACTTTCTGGACTTTCAGCTGCTCACACCATAGTGGAACGCGGCGGTAATGTTCTTGTCCTCGATAAAAATTCTTTCTTTGGTGGAAACTCCACAAAAGCTACTTCGGGTATAAACGGTGCTTTAACCAAAACTCAGATAGGTTTGTACTGGAAATAAAAAAAAATTGACAATGATTTTTTTTTTTTTTTACATACAAGAATCATTTATAATTATATATATATTTTTTTTTTTGGATAGCTCTTAAGATCCCAGATTCAGTTGAAATCTTTGAACAGGACACTCTTAATTCGGCTAAAGATCTTGCTCGTCCCGATCTTATTAAAGTGCTTACTGGAGATTCTGCCTCGGCTGTTGAATGGCTTCAAGATAAATTCAAATTGGATCTTTCACTTGTCTCACGATTAGGGGGACATTCACAACCACGTACTCATCGTGGAAAAGAAATGTTTCCTGGAATGACTATCACATATGCATTAATGGAAGGTATTGAAAAACTTGCGGAACAACAACCTGATCGAGTAAGAATCATCATGAAGGCACGAGCCACAAAATTAATCAAGGAAGGTGATACCATCGTTGGTGTCGAATACGTTAAAGGTGGTCAAACCTTCAAGGAATATGGACCCGTAATCTTGGCCACTGGTGGTTATGCCGCCGATTTTACCGAAAGTTCATTGTTGAAAAAATATCGACCTGATATCTTTGATCTTCCCACCACTAACGGGGATCATTGTACCGGCGATGGTCATAAGATGATTTTTGAAGTCGGAGGAAAAGGTATTGATCTGGAAAAAGTCCAAGTCCATCCGACAGGTTTGGTTGATCCAAAAGAACCAGACGCCAAAATCAAATTCTTGGCTGCCGAAGCTCTTCGAGGTGTTGGTGGATTATTATTAAATGCCGAAGGGAAACGATTTTGTGACGAATTGGGTCGCCGTGATTATGTTACTGGGGAGATTTGGAAAACCAAAACACCAGTTAGGCTTGTGCTTAACAGCAAAGCCTCAAAAGAGATTGAATGGCATTGTAAGCACTATACCGGTCGTGGTTTGATGAAAAAATTCAACTCTGGTGAAGCGTTAGCAAAAGAATTGGGAATTTCAGTATCACAATTGAAAGCTACATTTGACGATTATAACGAAATCGCGACTGGTAAAAAGAAGGATCCTTACGGCAAAAAATTCTTCTCAAATGCTCCAATCTCGGTCAATGATGAATTCCACGTGGCTATCATGGCTCCCGTGTTGCATTACACAATGGTATTACGTTTGATGCATGTTATCATAATTATTATCATTGATCAATATTAGTTTAATAATTTCATATTTAATTCATAGGGTGGTGTAGAAATAAACTCTAATTCTGAAATTAAAGACGTATCAGGAAATGTTATTCAAGGACTTTACGCCTCTGGAGAGATGGCTGGAGGTGTTCATGGAGCTAACAGGTTTGTAATGATATTATATTTGAGTATATGAATATATGTATGAAACTTATATTTATGCATTTCTAGATTGGGTGGTTCGTCTCTTTTGGGATGTGTTGTATTTGGTCGTGTTGCCGGTAACTCCGCATCACGTTATCTCTTCCAGAATTTGTCCAGTGCGACTGCCAATCGTCGTCTTGGACAAATCGCTGGTCAATTATCTCCATATCAAACTACAGTTTCTGTAGATCCAAATAGTCAAAAAGTTTCATTAGAAATTTCGTGGGCTCAACAAGGAACCGGTTCTATGAATCAAATCGCTCCAACACAAGCATCAGCCCCTGCTCAAACACAACCAGCAAAGGTAGAGAAGGAACCAAAGGTACTTAAAGATTACACTTTAGAAGATGTAGCAAAACATAATAAAGAAACAGGTTGAACTATTATTTCTTTTAGATTTACATGACATTTAAATTTTTTAAATAAATACTTAAATTATTTAACTCCAATAATTTTAATTATTTTAGATTGTTGGGTAGTGGTTAACGGTCAGGTTCTAAATGTTACTGATTTCCTTCCAGGTAATTAATTAATTACTGTATCCGAATGTATTTGGGAAAAAGATCTTGATTTAACCAATTATTATTTTTTATATAAGATCATCCCGGTGGAAAAAAGGCTATTCTACTTTACGCTGGCAAGGACGCCACAGACGAGGTATTTTTTATTTTCATTTTTTTTTTCGTTTCGCTTAGGTTTAAAGTAAACTTGTTTATTTTATTTTATTTTTTTAAAAAAAAAATTAGTTTAACATGCTGCATGATAAAAATGTTGTCGTAAAGTATGCGCCAGACGTAAGTTGATTATTTCGTGATTTATATTCTCATTTACGATTTTAATTCGCCTTTACTTATTTACTTTTAATATCCATTCTTTTAATTCAATATATACAGACCATTATCGGAAATTTGAAAAAGTAAATAATATCCTTCATGCGCTTTACGGAAAAACGGTCAAATTTGATCACCGATAACATTTATGTATATTTTTGGGTTTTATTTGTATTTTGTTTTTTTTTTAATTTATTGAAAAAACGACTGTGCAGTTTTGAACAAAGATTAAGTTTTATAGATTTAGACATTTCAAAATTTTCTTATTTATTCCAAAAAAAAAATATGTAAATGACCAAATTTTATCTTGAATGAATACACCTATTTTATTAATATCGTAAAAAATTGATCGAGATGCAATATGATTTAAAGTGAGAACTTAAAGAGTGACGCGTAATAATTTCACAAAATTTGATTCTTATACAATAAAATTATGTTGTATGAATGTTTTTAATTCTTGGAAACAATTTATACGCATTCTGGGTGGTTTGTCGAATCTATCATGAAGAAGGAAAATTCTATATTAGAAAAAAAATTATATATATATTTTTTTTTTTTTATAAATATTATTATTTACTCTAGGCAACGAAGAAAAATTTACCACTTCTTCAATCTGAATTTGTTTAATTCTAGCAATTTCCTTAATACTAAAAATGATACTATCTGGTTCATTATCAACACCATTTTCGGGACCTAAAGCAGGTGCATCTGTTTCAAGCAATATGTTTGATAAAGGTATTGCCTCTACTAATTTTTGTTTTTGTGGTAAATAAATGACCTCAGGTGGTATCGAGAAATAAAATCTTCATTAAATTATATGATAATATGAATAGAATTAATTTTCTTTATGTTATTTTATGATATTTGGGTTGTTAACAAGAATAAAAAGAATGGGATAAATGCTTTACCCCATTTCAACACCTCTTTTAGCATATTTTATTTGACCATTAAAAGCATGCATTACAACTTTTCTTGCACCATAATCACGCAAACAATCTAAAACGTAATGACCAGCTGAACGAGAGTGAACATTAAGCGGAAGATCTAATTGAAGAGATAAAGCAATTTGACGTATAAAGATATCACGTTGAATACTCTTGAGATCTTCTTTCGTTAATTTTAACTCTGGATGAGCATCTATAGCATTATTTAATACGTGAGGAGTAAAATCCATTCCAACTATTATGTGATTTATTTTAAATATTTATGAGTCAAGAGTATCCAAGAGTACTTTATTATTATTTTTTTTTTTTATCGAAATTCTTTGAGATATCCGATGACAAACAAACCTTCTCCAATTCCAACCAATTCTGATGACTTCTCTTTAATAAATTCAAGAATACCATTTACTTGATCTAATTTTACTACACTCTTTGCTCCTTGAGGAGTGACAGGATGTAAACCTGCACATGGTTCAATCATCTCTCTTAGTTCAAAAGGGATTGATAAATCATTCTTTAAAGCAAAAATACTCTTAGCATCTTCTAATGTTTCAGAAACCGCAACTACCGAAGTAACATTGACATTTTGAGCACGAATGAGAATTTGATCAATTTGTTTATTTGGGAACGAAGAAGGATACAAATGAGCATGGACATCAATCACGCTATTTCCAATATTTCCAATTGACATTATTTAATAAATAGTTGATCTTTTTAATAATATACTACCAAGCGGGTAATAAACAATTGAGAATACTGTATAACAGTTTCAAAATACTATACATAGTAGTACTTGTACTAAAATTTCGCTAGTACAGTGTACGACCACAACCTTGGATATAAAAATTCTAATTGATGTTGAATCTATTTTTGGTTACCTTTTTTTTTTTAATTTTATAAATAATGAATTTGTTAAAGGAAGCTGCAAAAAAAAAGTTTCTTCATGATGATGATGATGACGAGGAAGGATGTATGTAAAATTTATTAATTTATTACCAAATATATCAAATATAAAGTATATATATATTATATACACCTTATATCTGATAATTTATGATATATATTATTTTTTCTTGAATTTTATTTAGCCTCCTTTTCTAAATATGCTAAAAAATTCGGTCATTCAGATGAAGACGTCGGTAAATAAAATAATTTGAAGTTCTCTTTTTTTTATGATGAAATTTTTACCTTATTTAAATATCTCTTTAATACTATGTATATATAAATGTTTATATGTGATATTTAGAACATTTCCAAAATATTGCTGGTAAAACTCATGAACATTTAACAAAGACTGGAGAACATGATACAGAGATTGATCATGAAACCATTCTTGAGAATCATAAAAAGATTTATGAATCAGTAAGTTTTCTTTTTCTTTTTTTTTTTAATAATAAAAAATTAATTAATAATTAATCAATTATGAATAATCAATTTAATCATCAATAATAAAGGAAAATGTTTCGGAACATTCTGAAAAAGATCTTGGTCATGCAGCAGCTTTTGAAGCATTAAAGAAATTAGCAACAGGTAAATCAAGTGAAATTGATAAAAAAGCTTTAGTTTCATTAGCAATGTCTGAAGGTTTAAAAATGTGGGAAAAGAAACAGAGTACTTCAGGTGATGGTAATAAAGATGAAAGTAAAGGAAGTAAAGGTATGTACTTTTATATATACATTTTTATATTTTATATATTTTTTACATTAATAATTATAAAATAATATTAAAATAATATTATATTTAATTAAAAATTTATAATAACAGAGGAAGTATTGTCTCAAGCTTGTACTATGGCAATGAAATTAATTAATACAAGTGACAAGAAAGAAGAAGAAGAAGAAGGTGATAATAAATTACTTAAATTAGCTAATTCATTCTTTAAAAAATAATTATGTGAAGTAGTTATTTATTTATTTATTACATGTATTAAAAAAAAATGGCTATAAATGATTTATAGTATTTTCTTGCAAGCAAATAATAAATATATCAAAAAACAATAAATTTGTTTTACAAATAATGCTGTTCACTTTTTTTTTTTGCGAAAACAGTATCGCCATAGAAATTTTCGCCCCACGATATTTTTAAATTTGATTGGATCATAATTTGGCGGGGATCAGAAATACTTAATAAAAATTGATATTCGAAGGGCGTAACACACGGTGATAACAAATTCAAGTTACTCGAATTTGCTGTTATCTTAAATAAATTTCTAGTAGTGTGATTTTATTTATTAAATACAAGGTGTAACACTTATAATGCATGTCAAACTAAAAAAAAAAAAGGAAACTGGTCATTTCGAATTAATATATATTTTTATAATTTATTTCATTTATATGTAAGTATCTTACAGAAGAGTAAAGATAGAAAAGCAAAGATAGAAGAGCAAAAGACAGGGAAGCAGAGACAAGACAGAATATTAATAAAAAATTTCAATGATTTTATAATTTAATTTAATTTTTTTTTTAATCAAGATTATCATTATAATTTCGAACTTACCAGATATATCAGATATGCATATTTAATATTTAATCTAATCTAAACCGGAATTAGATAATCATTTTTTACATAATCATTTTACATAAAAAATGTTAAAAATGTATAAAATAATTTTTTGTAAATCGGAACGAACTGACAAAATTAAATTAAAAAAAATTTCACCATGTCTGAATCAACTCTCATCAAACCCCAAACTTCAGCAACAACTTCTGCACCAGCTCTTCCAGCTCTTGCTACTACTACCACCACCACCACCACTGCACCTCAACAATCACTTCCTTTTTTATACCACTTTCTAGCTGGTGGTATTGCCGGAGTTAGTGAAATTCTTGTAATGTATCCTCTGGACGTTGTAAAAACTCGATTTCAATTACAAGTTGATTCTAAAGTTGGTGGTGGGGAAAGATATACTTCAGTAATGGATTGTTTGAAAAAGATCGTAAAAACTGAAGGTTTTAGTCGTCTTTATCGAGGAATTTTACCTCCTGTTTTTATTGAAGCACCTAAAAGGGCAATTAAATTTTCAGCTAATGAAAAATACAGTACTATATATAAGAAACTTAATGGTGTAGATAAAGTAACACAAAGAGTTTCTATTCAAGCAGGTATTAGTGCAGGTGTTACTGAAGCTTTAGTTATAGTTCCTTTTGAACTTGTCAAGATTCGTCTTCAAGATAATCAAAATGCAGGAAAATATTCTGGTACCATTGATGCAATATCTAAAATTATTAAACAAGAAAGTGTATTTGCTTTATTTAATGGATTAGAAGCTACAATATGGAGACATGCTACTTGGAATGGTGGTTATTTTGGTGTTATTTTTGGTATTAAAAAAAGACTTCCTGAAGCACATAATAAACAACAACAATTAAGAAATAATTTTATTGCTGGTGCTGTTGGTGGTACAGTAGGAACCATGTTAAATACACCTTTTGATGTAGTTAAAACTAGAATTCAAAATGATTCGGGAATTATTAAAAAATATAATTGGGCTATACCGGCTATTGGTACTGTAGCTAAAGAAGAATCTGTTAAAGCTCTTTATAAAGGTTTTGTTCCTAAAGTACTTAGACTTGGTCCAGGTGGTGGTATTCTCTTGGTTGTATTTGATCAAGTTACAACTTGGATGAGAAAATATATGTTATAAAAAGATAATAATAATGTTGTAATAATGTTATAACAAATGTTATAACAAATGTTATAACAAATGTTATAATAATATTATAATAATATTATAAAATTATAATGATATTAATAATATTATAGTTATAATAATAATAGTATAAAATAGATGACATATAATACTTATCTCATTATTATATTTCTATTTTATTTATATTATTAAATAAATTTATTGATAAAATTAAATAAACAGGAAATTATATAGAGAAACATATATATAGATAATTTATTATTATTAAAATTTTTTATTAAATATATTATCATCATTTATAAGTAAAGATTTAGTAAAAGAAATTAAAATATCAAAAAAAATAAAAATAAAAAAAAATAAAATAAAATAAAATACAAAAATATCAATTTTATTTTAAATGGAATGCTTATCACATGCACTTCTAAAGTGGGAAATAAATAATACATTATGCATTTAAAAAATTACAAATATTAACTATTTAAAAGATAAATATATATATAAATATAAAATATAAATTCATACAAAATCGATTAATTTATCATTATTTATTATGCATCTTCCACTGGTGGAAGACCATCATCTATTAAGACAATTATTAAATTATTTGAAAATTATTATAATTTATTATTTATAGAATATAAAATATATAAAATATAAAATGTATAAATAGAAATAATAATTACCTCTCCTGTAAATGGTAATTTCTTGTTGTTTAAAATATCTTCGGTTTTCTTCATCAACAAGTACAAGATTAAGATAATAACGTGTAGAAAATTTTTTATTTACATCACGAAAAGTAGGTGTCAATTCAAATCCACCCAGAAATAGACGAATTGGAATTGTCTCTCCTGATAAAAATTATATAATTATATAAAATGTGAATTATATCTACATTCTTTATATATATCTATATTATATATTCTAAATATTTAAATTTTGCATTAAAATAAGATATAAGTATGTCTATTATAATCTCTCTTCAATCTTACCGCGAACTGGTGCACCATCCATAATTTCGAATTTTGTAATCGTCTCACTTTCATTATATTGATTTGGAGCTACCCACCAAAAAAAAAAATGGCAAATCATATATATGATAATGTGTCAAATTAATTGTATAAATATAAATCAAAGAATATCATAATAAATCATACCTGCACCGGTAGTTTCTCTACGAATAATGGATAATTCCATGTGTTTAATTTTTATTCGAACTAATAGGAAATAAATTTTTCCTACAATCACATCTTTAAGGTGATATCTGGACTTGTTATATTCAAATTCAATATGCAAACAATCCTCAATACCAACTTCCATTTTGATTGAAGTATTACTATCTGGTGGCATTCGATATGAATATACCCATATATCTTTTTCATTTACAATATCTGTTAATCGTCTAGAGATAGTAACTCGAACGAAATATCTTAATTAAAATTTAAATTAAATTCAAATTAAAGTTAATTTAAAAGTTAAATTATTAATCTTAATAATAAATTTTAATTCACCTCAATTTCACGTTTATTCCATAATAACTTTCATATTGTTTTTCAACATTTTTAAATTCAAAATCATAAAATTGTGGATTTCTCATCTCTCCCGGTATTGCTAATTCTTGAACTAACGCAGTAAACTCATAATGATTACCACGATCATAGAATAATTCTGCATATAGCAATAAAATATATAAATTATATAAATTTATTATTTATTCCTCGAATTGATAATTTTAATTTTAATTTAATTTACCAATATTTCCTACAAATTCAATTTTAATTCCTTGATGTTCAAGTTTTTTAGCGTCTCGTGGTCTAATGGTAACCTTTTAAAAAATATAAAAAAAAAAATATTATTTTCATATATACATAAAATATTTTTATCCTAATTAATCAAATTGGTCACCTACCCTACCGGAAACAGTTTCACCATCAAAATATAGTGGAAATTTATCTCGACGATCTTTATCCACTTTCACTTCTACTACCTTTCTATTTTCTTCTCCATTAAATCGTATGTCAATATCTACAGGTGAACTAAAACTAAAAAAGCCCTATAAGAAAAAGAGTTACATTTAGAAGAATGTATCAACTGTGCGATAAAATAACCTCAAAATATAAAATTTGACAACTGACTGCCATAATAACTTTAAAAAGATTCAAAAAACTAAAACTAAATTTCTCTCTCGTATCACGATGATCTACTGATATAATAATACGTTACACTTACACCTGTTAAAATTAAAAGGAAAAAAAGGAAATTACAACAATATGTCACTTGTTGAAAAGCGTGTATAGTTACACACCATAAAGATATATTGTTCCATTAATTAACTGTTAATCCATAACAGATAACTCATTCTTTTTTGTTCTCTGTTTAAAGATTAAAATTATAATAAATAATAATAATAATAATGAATAATAGTGATGATTTACCAAAATATGTAAAATACACAATTACAAAACCAGAATGGCATTATCTTAAATTTAAAATGTAAAGTAAATTCCTTTTAATTTATTTTAATTTTAAATTTTTTTTATAGTAATAATTTATTTAATCAATGAAATAATGATAATAGAAATTTTGATCCTCCAATAAATAATAATCATCCGTTACCAAATATACAATTACGCACATTAATTACCAAATCATTAACAGAAACATTTGGCATTATCGGTTCGGGAATCAATGTTACTATCCTAAATTGGAATGGTGGTGAACAAGTAGAAATAAATGATGAAGGAGAAGGAGAATTGAATGAAGGAAAAAATCAAAAATCTAATTCGGATCCTGATTACGTTGGAATAATTAGAGTTCATAGAAAGTAAGATTTTCTTATACCTTTATATATATATATATAATATATAATATATAATATATATTGATTTACTATTATATTTATATAATATATATTAATTTACTATTATTTACTATTATATATATTAAATATTCAGGGATTTAACCACATTATGGAGTGCTTTAACTTTATTTAGTACAACTCTAGATACAGATAATAAGAAAATTTGGTTTGAAATATTGAGCAACTCTTCTTATTTAATGGGATTGGTAACTGATAGTAGAGATTGGACTAAAAAAATTATTGCTGATTAAATAATAATAATAAATATTTATTAATTTGATGTTTGTATTTAATTTGTTGTTGTGAAAGTAAACTTTCTTTCTTTAAACAATTGATTGAATTTTTTACACTATTTGAATGCATTCTCCAAAGGCATATTGAAGGTGATAATTTATACATTCATATGATCAATTGTTTCATTAAGATCAATAAATAATTATTTTTTACATATAATACCAGAGATTTGAATTTAAATTTAATAATAATTATATCAGTTTTTATACAATATCCTAGATTATTATACTTAAATTCAATAAATAAATACCTTTGCTTCTCTTTTTGTTATATAATTCATTCTAACAAAATGGAGATATATAATGATTTCAAATGGAAGATATCAGAGTTCTCTAAAAAAGAATTCACTCCAATAAATGAAAATGTACAATAATTTCAAATGAATTCAAGTATGAGACTAGAATCTTCTCAAAGTTATTAATAAATAAAAATGGTATTCACAATTATGAGTTGTAGATTGTATAATTACTGCCTGTATTGTAATTCAAAAATTTGCAATTTCACAATTCACAAGTTCACAATGTTTCTGTAAGTCCACAATTACATAACCATTTTGTAATTATATAATTATTTCACAAGTTTATCAAATAAAAAAAATTTTTTTTTATTTATTCTTAATCAGACAAGTCTTATTTTATTAGAAAATAGTGATTTTTTGTCTTTAATAAATTTTAGCTCTTGAATAATAAATTTTAGAACAATAGTTACTATACATATTTTAATCTTTGAATATTCCATTAAATGAGAATACTCACATAGTCCCACAACCTGCACAGCAAAAATCTTTACAGATAATTCAAAATTTCGGATTTTGATTGAAGAGAAAGAAGTAATAGGTTAAAGACTTGAAACTTTGTCTCTTCTTATTGTGACAAGTACATTAAGTTCATCAATAATCACATGGCTTTTACTTGCTTTGTTGATTATTATTGTTATATGGGTTAGATTTATTTGATCTATATGGAATATAAATAAAAAAAGCTAATATGTGTGCCTTAAGTAACTGGAACTGTCTATTTGAACTTGAAATTTTTTATTGTATAAAAATATAATTACCATATAATAAATTTTTAACATAAACTTTTGATATATTTTATAAGACTTCTCATCTGAATTCTTGATTTGCATAATTTTATATGAAGGAGATGGTTGATATCTATTATTATCATACACATAATCTAACTGTTTTTTCTCCATCCTGAGATCTTTTGTGATCTCAGGATACTTTACATAATTAGCATTTCTTTGTGATATCAACTTACTATTTCATCATAATAACGAGGGGCCTTTACTATTACATAGCTAAAGTATTTGACAGGATCAAGAATCCTATTATTGTTTTTTCTTATTCACTCCATAAAATTCTTGTTACACTAGATATTCTTTTAGGTTTCCATTTAGACATTGGAATAAACTGGTCAAAATTCCATTGCTTTAAACTGGCTTCCCTAAGAATATCTTCAACAATTTTATGAATTGAGCTGCTCTCCAAAAAATTTGAAATTTGGGAATTGCCTTGCTTTACAGTATCAATTCCTTTAATAAAAGATCATCTGGTTTAAAATTTATCACTTTCTATACGGTATTCCAAAATACTTCTTTTTACAACAAACAGGAAATAATATCTCTTCATATGCCATTTTGATATAGGAAGTAACACTTTAACTTCATCACTTTCATAGTAATTTCTACCATTTTAGTCCAATATTCTAGTTTCAAGTTCACATTACTTCCATTATTATATTCCAAACTGCATTTTTCATAATACCATCATTATTTTTTGCAACCAAATCATTTCGAGTAGGAAATCACTTATTGAGGAAAGACGCCCCTCCCGGTGTGGTAGAAGGTGCTGTTTTCGAATTCAGAGATGGTGTCAGGAGTATCAATGTGTGAGTTTTGGGTGTCCATTTAAAATAAGGCGTTTTTAATTTTTTATATATTACCCTAAGAAAAATGTTCAAATTAAAAATAATAATATTATACAAGTTAGAATTGAATCTGGTTTGTATTTTCAAAGCAAAAATAAATGACTGAATTTATCATTTTCAGTATAAAAAAAATTCGCAGTAGGTCTTGTTATCGGCAAGAAAGTTCCAAATATAAATTGCATATATACATCATTCTAAATCACATTATTACCAGAAAAAAACCAAAAAGCTGGCCAGAGTTTTGTTTGAATAGATTATATTTTCGAACACTTATAAAAATCAGTCCTAGGAAAAATCCGTCCGGAAATTAGGACGTGAGTTGGGACGTAAAAAGATAGCTCGTTAATGAAAGAAATTTTGATGATCCGTCCTAGCATTCTATGAAAGTTTCAAATTTTTTACGTTATTTTTTATACTCTTTTTACTAACAAGTTCGGATATATTTTTTCTTTAAGGTACTATATATAATATGTCAGAAGGTAGGTATCATAATAGTCGGGTTTTGATGTCTTTTTTTCTAGAATTTTAGTTTTTATTAGGACGCTAGGACGGATATATAATAAGTATAGAGGAACATAATAAATTAAGAAAAAAACTCTTTCTTTTATAATCTAACGCGTCCTAGTTAACTTTTTTTACTAAGATGCTTCTCAGTTTATCTAGGACGAGGTTGTCTTTGCTAATATATCACTAATGATAAAAAAATTCGAAAACTTTGACACTATTATGTGCAACTTGTACAATCACAAGAGCGATAGTAACAACCATAAGAATAACACTCATCCAAATCAAATCCCTTTGGACAGGTAACGTGATAACATATAGGACGCCCCAGACAAGAACCTATTATTTAAAAAGCTCTTTAGTAATTAATTTATTAGAGATTTCAAACAACATACTTACAGTAATATTCCTTTGGCTCCACATCTTTACCCGCATCTTCATTTTTCTCATAATAAGAACAACTACAACCCGAAACACAACCTGAAACGGTCGAAATAGAATAAAAATAAATTTATAAATAATAACATACATTTTATTACTTTCTTTTTCTTAACTAAATTTTCCTGCAAATATAGTATCAAGCAACAAAATAGTTTAAAAAACAACTGAAAATATCATTGAGTAACAAAGATAATCAAAGAACAACTGAAGATATCGAATTTTATCCTTATTTTATAATCCATTTACATGATGAAAATTCCTTTTTTAGAGAAACAAAGAGGTTTTTTAGAATGCAAATAAATATGAAATTTTCTCAATCTTTCGATCTTCAGTCTTATCTGCACTGAAATACACTTTGTATAGTACATATATTTTTTAATCTTTGCTTATCACAATACTCAAGTATTCTATCAGTTTTGATAAAATGATTTATTTTTTTTTTAATTTGAAGTACGACGCAAACGTGAAGCAATCGTGCATCGAAGACGCGAACTAATCGTGCCTCGAATGTGGAAGCAAATTCGAACTCTTCCACCAATATGGGATTGATAATAATCCAACCTCAGTGCCTTAAATGTGGAAACAAACGCGAAACCTTCCACCCTCGAATGTGGAAACCAAATGAATTACATAACCTAGACTAACATATTTATGTGTTGATAATAATTTACGCATGACGTGATTATGTGGATAGACATATAAAATGTTAATCCGCGATTTGAATCAGATGATTTTGTACTATATGATTTGTCTTGGTGAGACAAATGAATGGGACAAAAACCTCTATATAGAAAAAAATTCTAACCAAAATTATTAGTTATAATTTTTTAATTTTATTTTTGTCCATATTATTAGCTTGCAAAGTCAGGCAATTTTACTATTGCTATTACGAAATTGAGACATTATACATGTGACATGAAAGAACTTTAATTGGTTAAATAATCCCAGGTTACAAAAAAGTTTCTAATCTGTTTCTTTTAATTGCTATTAGAAAATTTGCTAGAGTTACTGCTAAAATATAAAACAGAAAAATAAATTGGCAAATCTCATCATGTGATGCTTACATAAGCCAAGAAAATTTTTTTTTCAAATGCTATAATATAAAAGAAATCTGATCATTGGATTAATTATAGAGGTTCCGCACTGCATTAATTTGCATTTTTCTTTAAAATTATTTAATGCGCTACATTACCCACCCGCGCCATAATACCTCCTTCTACCTTAAATAAAAAGAAATTATTTATACCGTGTTCACGGGATTCTTTAGGTACTTCTCTCCTCGGAATCGAGTTCGCGGGTGTTTATTTATTTAAATTAAAATAAAATTATTTATACTTACCTTCTCCATGTTCGTGGGTTTCTTTAGGTCCTTCACCCTTCAGAATCGGGTTCGCGAGTATCTATAAGGTAAGTTTTTTTTTAATTAAAATAAATTTTAATAAAAATTAGTTGAAGTCCGAACCAACGACTTGAAACCTTCAAGTGAAATATTTGTATATTAGTATGCATATGAAACTTTAATAAAAGCATGCCCATAACGTGTATGCGTGCATGTATACGCCATAAAATGAAATCTTCAGTCTTGTAAATGTACGAAAAAATACTATACATATCAACTATTATGGAGTATTTAAAGTTATGATTTATTCAGAGACCCAATTCTCGAAGATGTTCTGGAATAACTATTTATGGATCTTCACAATACTAAACTTCATTTAAGACAATCCAATTTTCTTCGCATAATTCTTTCTTGAGTTGATCCCGTGCTTGTTGTTTGATGAAATTATTTTTGTCCCCTCTATGAAAGAATTCGATATACTTTTCGTGTTGTACCCCTTCGATTTCTATGGCCAGACCATAATTATAGTAGGGAATATCAAGAATTATAGTAGGGAATATCAAGTTGCAATCCTGATGGATGTTCTGATGTTTTAAGAAATCGGGCCAGCGATTTTCTGATGATGGGTCAAGATATTCTGATACAATTTTACCCAATCCATTCGGAATTTTATAAGGCGGATATTTTCAGGACTTACGTAAATTTCTATGTTTTTATGATTTCGCCGTGATTTACGCAAGGTGTTTCTATGGTAGATAGGATATTCGCCGAAATATTTTGGCTTAAATAAAAACGTATATGCAATAATAATAATAATTTTCGCGAAATTTAAAATACTCTGAATTTTTGATATCATGAAGTTTCCGAAAATACATTTTTATTTAAACCAAAATATTTCGGCAAATATCGGGGCTACAGGGATGAAATACATATCATCTTGTAGCCTTGAACAAGGCTCTTCTATCTGTCATAGAGATATCTTAGTAGAAAATCGCTTCTTGTCGTGTAAATCGCGAAGTCATAAATATTTTTGAAAATTTAAAATTTCCGGATGTTCTTTTCTGATAACGGTTGTATCGATGAGAATAAAAAAAATTTTTTAAAAAAAAGTTAAAAATGAGAAAACTTTTAATATATTGAAATATAAAGAATTAGAAAACATTATTCCAAATGAGAACAATATTAAAAAACAATAATCTTACAATTATTTATACTTAAAAGATGACGAAACCTCTTTTTGTTCTCTAATTAGATCAAATGTTTATATACTGTAGAAGACATTTTTTAACTAACGATGAGTAATATTTTTTTTATTTTAAATATTAAATTTTATTAATACATTCAATTATTTTATTAACTTTTATTATTACATTCAAATTATTTAAATTATTTAAATTATTTTATTACTACATCCAAATTATTTTAATAATTATAAAATTTGATAATACATATATTATCAATTATTTATATGAACTTCTTCTATTACTTCATTTTTTTTAACTAAAACATCTTCACCTCCTTCTCTTTCTTCGGAAGTATGTAAGAATATTTGGTCTCTTTTCTAATCTTTCTAAAAATGATTTCACATTACTATTAATTCCACACTTATAATATTCTTCACAATAATGACAACCAAATATTCAAATATCTAATGATTTATTTTTAAGGGGTATTTGATAATACTATAGATTTCTTTGGAATATTGTAACTTTGTAACTTTTATAAAATACTTTATATATTTACATAAAAAATATTATTATTATCATTGTTGTAGAATCATTGGATAGTGAAATATTTTTTTACTTAAATTAAATATCTTGATCAATTATTGATCTAATTAATATGAAACTATTAAACTATTATCATTCAATTACAAGCTATAGATCACTAAAATCCAATCAGTGGTTTCTTAACTTTTAAAATTCAAAAATTTATTACAACACAAATATTATAAAATGTTGAGATGATGAAATATCGTGTAACATAATATTCATTCAATATTTGATCGTCTAATCCTAATCCTAATCCTAATCCAAAATTTTTTTCCTTTCTTTAATTCTATTCCTCTTACATTTAAAATTTTTAAAATTGTCAAATTTTTTTACAGTGATACTTGGAATCCTATTATCTAATCAAACAAATAATAATTGCATAAAATATATTTAATAATGTTTTCGTCGCAGTCGTCGCATGTACATAATTATTATGATTATTAACATTCATATAGATATTGTTTTCAGATGATGTTCAGAGATATTCCACAAAAAAATATTTTAAAAAGAAAACGAATCAGTAAATATTAAAAATATTATTTAAAAATTCATGTGACCATAACACATTACCGTAAACAGTAGGATGAACAATAAAAGATAATTATTGGTAAATAAATGGTAAATAATAATAAATAATTCAATTACTTAAATTTTAAATTCACTTTCTTTTTTAATAAAACAAAGTTTATTGTATATTATCATATACTGTATTTATTATATAGATAAATTATATCATAATATAAAAAAAATTTATTATATAAATAAATTATATCATAAAATATTTATTATATATATATATAAATATTTATTATATATATATATAAATATTTATTTATTATATCATTAAAAAGAGAAAACGCAGTAAAAGATTACGTTATATTTTTATATTTTTATTCTTTATCTTCACCCAATATCTTTATAAAAAAAATAATATATATAAATAATGTAAATAATGTATACTAAATTTAACCAAGACTACGGCAACTGAACTTTAATTGATTGATTGACAAATTGACTAAAATTGAAATACTGCGAATTTCAAATTTACTGAATTTACTGAATTTACTGATGTAATTTACTGGATGATTATTATTGGGTGGATTGATATAAAAATGCCGTTTTTTTTTTACTTTCTCACCATATCATCATATTTTATAACTTACCAAAAAGTTACCAAAAAGTTACCACATACCACATACCATACCGTTTGTTCGCGTTCTCACCGTCTCACCGTTTAGCTCAAGTTAAAATTAAATAATTATAAAAATATTATATATTAGTAAAATAAAAGTCGTCATGTCTCAAGGTAAATAATAATAAAGTTTTAATATTTATCTTTCCTTATTTTTTTTTTCATTTCATTTTTTTTCTTTATATATTTCGATATACATATATTTTTTTTTTAATTTCTGATAAAATAATTATTCTTTACAAATTATTATTATAATTATTATTCTTTACAATTATTATGATTATTACTATTATTTAATTATTAATATCATTTTTTTTTTCTACATTTTCTTGAATCATAGAAAATCATTTTCCAGCAACTTTTCAAAGTGATCGTTCGTGGAATATAATAGATGAAGATGATGGCAAATATCGTTATTATGCTTCTTTTAATTCCGAAAAATCGTGGACATTTTTAGGATCTCAAGATGCTGATGCATTTGGTTCTGTAAGCACTTACGGTTATGGAACAACACAAACCACCGATATTGAAAATAATTCACGTATTCATGATTATGTTCAAGAACAACAACAACGTCTTTATATAAATAATAATAATAATAATAATAATATTAACACCAACATCAATAATACTAACGATAACAATAATTATAACAACAACAACAATAATAATAATAATTCAGTACCAATTTCATCATTTCCTGAACCTGAATTTAAACCATCACTTAGTGAACAAAATGAGAATGTATTTAGTCAACTTAGTACTGCTGAATTTTTGGAAGATACATTTAAATTTGAAAGAAAAAGAAATGAAGATTTTGTGGGTTATCCTAATGAATATTATGATGATGAATGTTGTCCTCCACCAACTACTTCTACTTCACCTCAACAACATCAACATTTATTCCAACAACAACAACAACAACAATTACTTCAACAACAACGCATGATCCAACAACAAAAACAACAACAACAACAACAACAACAAAAACAACAAGAATATTCTTCAATGTTGTCAACTATCAATAGTTATAATGATGATGATAATAGTTACAGTGATTTGGTTGAATCAGATCAAACGGCAACATGTTTTGATGATCAAACTCATCGCAATACCGTTTATCAATCATCATTATCATCATCATCATCATCACCGTCATCTAAAATTACCACTATTTTCAATTCGACGTTTACATGGACTTTATGTATGTATATTTTAATCCAATTTATTAATATTTATTTTTTATTATTAAATTCTAATTCTAATTCTAATTCTAATTTATTTTAATTCTAATTTATTTTAATTTATAATATTCTAGTCGTAGCGATACCGTTGATTGGAGTTATTACCTACTTCATTATTAATAATTTTCCGTTCAAAGAATTTGATTATTTAATTTTTTAATTTTTTAAATTCTCCTTTCCTTTTTTTTTTTACAAATATGACAACGACCACGAACCTGAACATAAATTGAGCGTAGACTATTGATGAGAGAGTGAAAGAATTGCATTGGGGTTCATTATATGAATATAAAATCTTTATTTTATTTAATAGTAATTAGTTAGTAAGTAATAGTGTGCATAATATATTTTCTTTTTATATATATATATTTTTTTATTTTTTCTTTATTTTTTTTTATTTGTTCATATTTATTTTTCCCTCTTTTTTTTTTACTTCACAATATATAAAATATTATATACACACTTATTTACATACTCACTCACTTCATTACTTTTACACACACTTAACAACTTAACAATCCCATTGCAAATCATCTAAATTCATTCTTCTTTCTTTCTTTCTTATTTTATTTTATTTTTTTTTTAACTGTAAAAATTTCGATTTTATTTTATTTTTTGATTTCTGATTATTGTTTTGAATAAATTTTTGTTTTAATATATTATTTTTTTTTTTGAATTTATTTTTTCTTTTCTTTTTTCGACCACGAATTACATAAGTAATTAAATATTATTAAATATATAAAGTGTATATAGTATATTACAGTATATATTACAGTATATTATTATTATTAGATTTACTTCACCTTTTTTGGGATTATTTATTTTGTTTTCTGTAAAAATAATAATAATAAAAATTATCATATTGTTCCTCAATAAAAACAAATAAATAAAATGAAACAATAAATGACAATTATTTTTAGAATTCCTTTTATCATCTCATCTCATCTCTCAAAAGTTTTAATTGGGATATCCTAATTTAGAAACATCAATCTATGTAACTTATCTAACATATCAATAATAATTAACCGTATTGGGAAATATGAATGGGAAGAAATATAATCCAAATAAGGAAATACGAATAGAGGTAACACATAAAATATGCAAGAATGATTTCCATATAAAGAAATCTAAATTTTACGTGCATAATCATGCATAAACTTGCATAAACTTGCATAAACTTGCATCGGAAATAATCCGACAAATTGACAAAAATTAATAAATAAGTGTTTAAGAGGGCTTAAGAGTGCATCGGGAATATTCCGACAAAAATTGCGAAATTTAAGAAAAAATGTGATTTAGTGCGAAAAAGTGTAAGCGCGAAAGTGACAAGTAAATGAAGTGCTTAAGAACGCATCGGGAATATTCCGACAAAAAATTGTGTAAATTACGAAAATGCGATTTAATGTGAAAAAGTGCTAATGTGAAATAAGTGCTAATGCGAAAAAGTTCAAATGTAAAAATTGAAATAATATGAGTGCTTAAAGGTGCATCGGGAATATGGAGATTATTCCGATTTTTATTATTTTGATTGATTTTTTTTTTTTTTGCGTTATCGGGGGAATATTCGGGAATAAAAAAAAAATTATTTATCGGGGGAATGTTCGGGGATAATAAGAATGCGTCGCGGAATTTTCGGACGAAATAATTTTTATTGGATTTAAAAAAAAAAAAAATTTATGAAAAAATGCGTGCTACATAAGTAAATGTTATATCTTCTCGAGAATAAATTAAATACATCAAAAAAAAAATATTTCACAACACGCGTTTAATTTATTTTATTATATCTGCGTTTAACTTTTCTCATTCAAAATATCATCATCTAAAACGGGATCTTCCATTTTACTTATAATTTTTTTCATACTATCAATTCCAGTTCTTGTAGGAATATTTTCATTTCGGATACGTGGTAAATATTGAGGATAAGTTGTTGTTATATATTCAATCTAATAACATAGATAAAAAATAATAAAAATTAAAAAAAAAAATAAATAAATAAATAAAAATCATAATAATAATAATAATAAAAAAAGAAGTTTTGAACTATTTGTAATTACCAATTTTTCTCTCATTACAATCTTCAATTTATTGCCTTTGTTAAAATTTTTAGCTAAAAACATTAAAATAAAATTGAAACAAAATTGAAATAAAATTGAATAATAATAATAATAATAATAATAATAATAATAAAATTGAATAATAATAATAATAATAATAAAATTGAATTAAAACCTACCACTTAATCTGGCCGTCAGTACTAATACCGTTTCTCTAACATCGGATATCTAAAATTAAAAAAAAAAAATAATAACAATTTATATCCATAATATAATAATAATATATATACACATATATAAATATACTTACAAACAAATAAGCATTTCTTTGATCCCAATGTTCACATTTACGAACTTCCGATGTAAAATAATTTTTTAAATCATCTAATGGAATCCCGTAATCAACATATAAATGAAAATCCAATGATAAACTTTCACTGGTACGTGACCAATTTTCATATGTGGTATCAATTAATCTTGATAATGGAACTAAGATTCTTTTTTCTTCGATAGATTTTAGTACTATGTATTGTGATTGGATTTCCTCTAAATTATAATAATAAGAAATAATAATAATGATAAAATAAAAATAATAATGATAATGATAAAATAAAAATAATAATGATAATGATAAAATAAAAATAATAATGATAATGATAAATCAATAATAATGATAATGACATATTTACCCACTACACCCTTATAATCATCAATAACCACATAATCACCCAGTAGAATTGATTGTGTAAGAGCAATTTGTAATGTTACCAATAAATTCTATTATGAAATATATTTATATAGAGAGAGTGTGTGTGTGAGAGAGAATATTGAAAAAAAGAGATATATATAGATAGATAGATTTACTACCGTCAATATTTGTTTAGCTGCAAATCCAATAACCAAAGCAATAATACCAGCACTAGCTGTTAAACCAATTCCCAAATTCCAAGCAGTAGGAAAAGTTGATAATACACAAGCCGCACCTAATGTAAATATTATTGAAGTAACAACTCTTGAAGCAATTAATAATTGTGTGGTCATTTTTCTATCTTCACCTTTCTTTTTAAAATCATTATTACTATTATTATTATTATTATTATTATTATTATTATTATTATTATTATTATTATTATTACTATTACTATTATTATTATTATTATTATTATTATCATCATTATTGTAATCAGAGAATGCAATTGTTTCAAATAAAGCTTTAACAAATCCAATTGCTGTCCATGTAGAAAATATTATGAGTAAAATTTCAAATACATGTTGAATTGGATCTAATAATCTAGAATCAATATCGGATATAAATGGTATCGTAAGGAGAATTGCTGATACTGGGAATACGAAAAATGAAGGTACTTTGCTGTAAATATTATTATAAATATTTATATATATTAATTACAATTATTAATTATAAATATTAATTACAATTATTAATTATAAATATTAATTACAATTATTAATTATAAATATTAATTATAATAAAAAAAAAATTATATTAATAAATAAATATTACCAAATTATAAATATTATTAATAAAAAAAAATTATATTAATAAAATAAATATTACTAAAAAAGAAATTACCAATATTTTAGAATTGCATGATCAAAAAGCCATCCAGTTTTTCCAGTTTTTGATTTCAAGATATGAGCAAGAACCAAATGTAATAACATAGATGCTACTGTAATACTAGTCATAAGAATGATTGGAAATAATTTATTATCATTATCTAAGAAATTCATTATTGCGGAATCCTGATTTGTAGTATTATTAGTATTATTTTCACTCATTTTTTTTTTTACTAAAATATTACTATATTTTTTATGAAAAGAACAAAAAGTTCAAATTGTACAAATTGAATAAATTAAAATAAATTTTCACTTTTTAAATATAAATCATCACCAAAATTAATTAAATAAAATTAAAATTCCATATTTGAGAATGAGTATCCTTAAAATAGACTCAAGGTAATCCTCCTGAACTCCTGGATCTTCTATATAAGTAACATTTTTTTAAAGTAGTGGCCACGTGAAGTGTGCAATTGCGTTGCGAAGCAGGATTTTCTTAAGGAGTAGAGTTTATTCTAGGTAATTATATTTATTATAATATTTATTGTTTGTTGTTACACAAATCTTATTTTCTAGTTTATTTCTCAATTTGGCATCAAGAAACTGGTCATCGTGTGTATGATAATTATGATTATGAACGTGGTGACATCGGACGAAGGAATTAAGCATTGATAATAGATAATTCGAAATATATAACAGATGATGAATAATTATATATAAATTTGTAATACATAATTGTAATGGACGCGAATAAAATATGCTCAATATCCTACTTTTTATTTCCTGTTAACTTTCTTTCTTTCTTTCTTTCTCTCTCTTTTTTATTTATATTTTCGTTATTTTTCTCGATATTTTTATCAAATACATATATATGCACGCAAATTAATTATACTAACTTTGTAGGATTTTAATGATAAATATGTAAATATTCATTCATTCATTTTCTTTTAAATTGAATTTACTGTGCGTTACAATAAAGACACGTGATTTGGAATCCTAAAACTTTGGATTTGTAAAAAAATATATACTTATATTTATAAAAGAATAAAAAAAAAAAAAAAAAAATAGATAAAATAATTTGAAGACGGCGCGTCGGATAGTAGATTTTTTCTTATTCTTTATTCTTTTTATATAACTATATATATTATATATTTAATTTGGTTATCATTATGAGGAAAGAATATAATTTTTGAAGTAAAATAAAAATAACAAATAAAGTTGTGATAAACCGTTAATGATGACAAATTTTACACAGTAGATAGTTTAATAACCTAATATACATATCTTGTAGCTCATTAATTATACCGAGGCTTGTACAACGATCTACATATCAGTATATCGAACAAAGCCCCTTTACCCATAACACAATACAACATCTATAACTCTTCCTAAATATTATATATATATATATATATAAAATAAAATAAAAAAAATGAAGATCTACTTTCTTACGATTTTTTCTACAGAAAACGATGCGGCGGTAAATTTAGCGGGAGAACACGATCTCTCTGGTTTTGGGTTTTTTCAACGAAGCAGGTTGGTGTAAAAAATGATAATAATAATAATATAATAAGAAGAATAAGAATAGTAATATTAATTAATAATAATAATAATATCTCGGTAAAAAAATAAACTTTAATAGAATCTTTTTACATTATTTAGTGTTCAAGAGTTTATGACATTTTTCTCAAAAACTGTAGCTGAAAGAACAAAACCTGGTCAAAGACAAAGTGTTGAAGAAAATAGTACGCATAAAATTATTAGATATATACATCTATCTATTCTATCTATTATATATATCTCTCTCTATCTATTCTATCTATTATATATATCTCTCTCTATCTATTCTATCCATTATTATATATTCATATAATATATCTATTTATTAATTAATATATGGACTTTATTATCTTTTGTAATTATTATTTTATTTATTTTATCTTAGATTACGTATTTTATGCATATTCGAGAACCGAAGGATTAGCAGGAATTATGATTTGTGATAATGAATATCCTCAAAGAGTAGCATTTTCCGTATTAAATAAAATTTTGGAAGAATTTCTCATAAAATTTCCTCGAGATAAATGGATACCTCAATCAATTGTTTTTCCCGAACTTAAAAATTATTTGATCAAATATCAAGATCCCAAACAAGCGGATCAAATTGTTAAAGTTCAAGCTCAATTAGATGAAACCAAACTTGTCATGGTAAATAATAATAAATTATAGTGATTTATGTAACAATAATAATAATAATAATAATAATAATTCATAATAATAATCTTAATAATAATAATAATTCATAATAATAATAATAATAATTCATAATGAGAATTCATAATGATAATAATTCACAATTACTCACGTTATTATTCTTATTATTTAGAATAAAACCATAGAGACAATTTTACAACGTGGTGAAAAATTAGAAGATTTAATTGATAGATCTCAAGAAATTTCATTTCAATCAAAAGCATTTTATAAGCAAGCGAAGAAGGTTTGAATTATTATTATTTTTTTTTTATATCAAAATATTAAATATTTTAATTCAATTCTTTATTCTAACAAATTTTTTTTCTTTTTTTTTAAAAAAAAAATCACCATTCCATTATCATTAATATTATAATCCTTATAGACTAATAGTTGTTGTAATATTTCATGAATCTTTCCATTTTTAAATTGTACTTTTAAATTTTACTTTGGTAATATTATTTATTAATTAATTTTTAATTATTATTAATTCATTATTTATATTTATTAATTATTATTATTCATTATTTCATATTATTTCATTTGATATTTATTTCATTTCATTTTTATTTCATTTTTTTATTTAAGGTACATCAAATACAAAAAAAAAAAAATCGGAACCATTTATTTTTTTTTTTACTATCAATACAATTGTTTAATGTTTTTTTTTTTTTTGAAATCAATAAAAATATTTAAATAAATAATGATATATAATAATATTAATAATCATAATCATAACTGACAATAATTGATAATAATAATAATAATAACAGATAGTTGATAACTTAAAACAATAAAATAATAATAATAAAATATATGATAAAATAATTTATAAAACTCCCAATGGATCTTCAGCCATTGAAGTAATAGAATGTTGTTGATTATTATAACTATTATTATTATTATTATTATTATAATTACTATAATTATAATTATTATTATTATTATAACCATTATTATTATTATAATCATTATTATTATTACTAATATCATTATTAGAAGTAGTTGATGATGACATTGAACCAATACTTTCACTTCTATTCCTTCCTCCAATATTTTTTGAATTAAAAGCACCTAATGGATCAACTCTTCCCACGGATGGTGAAGCCAGTGATGATGTTGGTGATGATATTGGTGATGATGGTGGTGGTGTTAATGTTGATGTTACTATTGATGTTGAAATGGGATTTTTTGAACGTCTTTGTGTTGATGTGGTTGTAATGGTTGTCGTCGTCGTTGTTGGTGATATTTTCTTGAGATATTCTTCTTCATAATCCGCATATCCTGAACCATATCCGGAACCTGATGCATAACTAGATAAACTATTCACACTACCAATACTAGCTCGTTTAGGATTAAATAATGAATTTTCATCATCATCCGTATATCCTCCAATCATCCAACTATATTTTGAATTGGATGTAATTGATGATTTCGGTGTACCATTACTATTTTCTACATCAGATAATATATCTTCTAAATTTAATTTATTTTTTAATGATGAATGTTTATGAATTCTTCTTGATGTTGTTGATGTTGTTGGTGTTGATTGTGTTGATAATTTTGTTGTAGTTGTTGTTGTAGTTATAGGTGATGTGATAACAGAATTGTCAATAATATTTCTTGATAATGGTGATGATGAGATTTCAGATGATGATGAAGGAATTGATTTTATTTCTGTTTTAACAATAGATTTCTCCTGTTTCGTATTGTTAATAGATTTAATAGATGAAATTTCATCTTCTGTACCTGGTACACTAAGTACACTAACCCCATCATCAACTACTTCCCAACGTTCATGTTCATGTTCACGTTCATGTTCATGATCTTCTGTACTATTATTTGATGTATTTGATGTATTAGATGATAAATCTAATATATTGGAATTAAATTCTTTCGTTGAACCATTTAATACATCTCTAATATGTTTAAGTCCATGTAATACATTAAGAACTGAAATTCCATCTGATGAAACCGTACTTGATTCTTCATTATTATTACTTGCTACATATTCAAAAGATGATCGTGATGTTGACCCTTCGGAACTTTTTTCTATTTTATCTGTATCTTCCTGAGATTTCGTTCGTCCCAAGATTTCTTGTTCAAGAATATCAATACTTTTTTGTAAAATAATACTCATTTGACGATTTTGTTCTCGTAATTTTGTAAATTCTTCTAAATTATTTTTTATAGAAATATTATTATATTGAGACGTGTCTGTACGATCTGATGAACGGTCTATAATACGTTCTGTGCGTAATGGGTCATTCGATACTTGTTGAGATGAATTTGAATAAATTTTCCTGTTAATAAAATCTGATGTTGAGTTTTGTTGACGTCTTTGATTATCTTGTTCATGACGATTCCGAGAGTTACCAAGATTTTTCTGTAAAATATTAATTTAAAATAATAATAAACAACATAAACTTATAAATAAATATATTAAAATCCGAATACCTGAATTGATTAATTTTTGTATATTGATAAAAAATGATCACTCCGTTTTTATGATTTTTTTATAATCTTTGAGTTTTTTTTTTTTATCTTATTTTCCCAAGAATTCTATTATGCCTTCAACTCACCTTCACTTCACCTACTACCGAATAAATAGCTTTATTTAGCATCGCTGTGTTTACTGTTTCAAAAACATTTTTTGTAACATGAACTAAACTATCCGGTACCAAACCTTCAATTCGACTATTATTATTATTATTATTATTATCATTATTAGATTCAATAGTATCTGGAAGTGGTTGAGATGTAATAGATTTTCCGGATCTAATTGCATTTTGTTGAATAATATATCTTCCTCCTTCAACAGATAAATGATCTCGAAGGTAAATCGCTTGAGAAACAAGTAATTCAACTTCATCTGTTGGAGGATATCTCATTAACATGCTTAAACATCCAGCATAATCAGATTCGAGTACTAAAATTAAAATAATAAAAAATTTTAAAAAATATAATATGATAATATAATATAATATAATAATACAATATATTATAATAATACAATATAATATAATAATAAAATATAAACTAAAACCTACATTCATCTCGAATTAACAGCATCATTGTTATACATACAAAATCTACAATTCTTAAAGCTGGATCTTCGGCAAACATTCCATCCCATAATATTAAAACTTTCTCTAAAGGAAATTCCCGACCAAAAAGTAATCTCACCCAACGTCTAGAAATATTATAAAAATATTAAATAAAAGAAATCAAATTCATTTTTTTTATATACTTTATATATTACTTTGTATATTACTTTATAACGTTCAAAGATGGGAAAATAAAATACCAACATTCCATAAAGTTGAGGTTCAATTTCTAAATCTTTTAAATGATGGTATAAGTCTGGATCAATTTTTTGTAGATATTCTTCATGAATTTTATTACATTTCATGACTACTGGAGTTAATTTGGCTGCCTACACATTCATATACATATATATATATATATACAAAAATAATAATAATTAATAATAATTCATAAATCAAATTCTTTTAAAAATTTACCTCTGCTTGGGCTTCTTTAATCATTCTTGTATAATCCAAATCGGTTCCTTGAGAGCGCTAAATATTCAATTATTTTGAAAATTATTTAATAAAGAATCAATTTAAAATCAAATTAAATCATCAAAATAAATATATTACCTTAACAGGTCTACGATTAAAAACCTCATCATTATATTCATAATTAATTTTTGCTGCTTTCATTAAAGAGCTAAAAAGAACAAAAGTATCATGTTCCACATAATCAGAATTTAATGTTTGTCTAATTATCGTAATTTCATCATTCTCTACTGCGTATCCATTTGCGCCTGGTATGGATTCATCATCAACTACCCATAATATTGGTGCCAATAATTCATGCATTCCTTGACGATAAGAAACATCCGTATTCATTTTACAATAAATAAATAGAATGTCTAACAATCGATTTTGGGCCTCCGGGTTACGAAAGTATTCATTATCCGGAAATCTGATAAGATATATATATATATATATATTTCAAAAATAATGAAATTAATGAAATTAATAGAAAATTAATAGAAAAATAATTAAAATAATTAATGCACTTACGTTCTTTCCACATCTTGTCGAATAATTTTTCGTAATTCGGTATCTTTAAAATATTCTTGCCAAGGATTCTAAATTAATTAAATTAATTATAAACAATCATTATCAATAATCTTTCCTTTTATATGTCTATAATAATTTCAATAAACAATGAATTATATACGAAATTATACAAACGGCTTGGTCTAAAGATAACGGATTATTCACGCTTAAATCATTGGAAGTGTTATCGTTTTCAGTTTCTGAAACTGGACTAGTAATATATTTTTGACGAAGATCCGCATAGTGTTGACGTTCTTTATGAAGAGTTAAAGTCCAAGTTGAAATATCTAAACTTGGTAGATAAGACAAGTATAACTATTTAAAAAAAAAAACGTGAGAATTATTTAGTAATTGGTTTTTGCAGTGGAGACTTTTAACTTTTATATATATATAACTTTTTGGATAACTTTAGGATAACTTTGGATAAGTTACATACCTTCCAACAAACAGACCTTAAACTAAAAGAACAAACATTTCCTCTAACACCTTTATCCCGTAAAGAAGTTAAAGAGAGTAATGGGTCCTTAAAGATAACGTCCCACTTTGATCTAAATATCCATTATTTTAAAAGGTAAAAAAATATCATAAATCCATATTGAAAATACTTGAAAATACTTTTTGAATGCATACTTTATTTCTTCAAAAGTATGACCTCCCATTATTTTTTCAAGAGTAAAGAGAATTTTTCGAAAATAACGAAATATACGTTTAATATGATAACTTATTATTTAAAGTATTTTAAGGTAGTAGTACAAAAAATCTAAATCTAAAAAATCTGGGGTAAATTATATTTAATTATCCAATTTCCTGCGAACTAAAGTTATTTAAAAATTATTAAATTGTAATCAATAAATATTATTAAAAATTATTACTTTACTACTTTAACTACAAATTTTGAATTCCCCAATTTTTTTTATCTTATCTTGTGAAAATTAGTTACACAAGCATGCATTTATATTTATTTTTTTAACATATATAAAAAGACTGTAATGGAATATTGTAGATTTCTTAAACGAATGTGAACTTGAACCCTCCAAATGGAAAATTGATTGTTACCTTTCAAGCCTCTAGAATATTTTTAACAGTGAGGAAAGACTCCAGGAACAAATATTGCTTAATAAGTATAGAGAAGTGAGCATTGAGCTTTTTATTGAAAATACACGAAGCGAGAGTGGTTGGAGTACAGAGACTTTCTGCGTTCAGACAGTGTTGGAGCACAGAGGTTGCCTGGTGTTCAGGGCTTCTAGCTGATCCAATACTGGCCCCGATGAGGCGCTGAGTGACCTTCTAGGTTGTTCTCATATCCATCAACCAATCAGCGGAAACGAGAATGGGATCGTACAGTGGAGAGATCGAAAATATGTTGAACAAAACAAATGAAATGAAACCCAACAACATATGCACGAATTAGTATTGGATGCCATCAAAGATGATATTTTTTGAAGTAAACGTCAATGCAACTACTTTTGAAATCTAGAAGTGATTGGTAATACACTTATTGTTGATATTACAAAGTTAAATAACGACCTTGGTAAGGTAAGTTAATCTTTCATACTGTTGTCATAATTTTTTTATCTTATTATCTTATATGAAATTATCTGATGGCAATGCAGATCTCGCCGTTCTATTGACAACCATATCATTTATATCATTTCAACGCGGTGATCAATTCATTTTTCTTATAGAATCATAAATATAATAGTTTTATCGTAAGCAATATGAATTTAGTGTTTTAATATTATGTCATTAAAAGTTTCCAGAAATTTATAATTCTATTTTAATCAATTTTAGTGTTATGCATATACATTGAGGACTCAATATTATAGATATATTAACGGAATTTTGTATTCTAAATTCCAAAGATCAATTAAACACACTGGAAGAAGTCATCGAAAAAAGTTTATATGTTCAGGGTATTAGATTTAGATATTGCTAACTTAATGTATTTGTTTTTTTATCTTTACTTCATCTTTGGGACATAACAGATTCGAATCAACTCTTATTGGTACAACAGAGTCACTAATTGAAGCTTCACCTTCTAAGAGTTATAAAGTTATTAATGGACAACAGTGTTAGAAATTGTAATTTGTAATATCTGATAATTTTCGCATATTTTAATTAAATATATTTTTGTGAGAAAAAATATGTTCCGAATTAGTTTATTTTTATTACGTAATTCATTACACGATTATCGTATTACAATAACCTTTTTAATGTAACGATAAAAATTTATATAAATATCGGAAATGATTTAATAAAGATGGTTCTAAAAACGATACAATATTTTAAAAACTTATTACTAAATAATTATGTAGTAATGATACTCATAGATATTTGTAAAATAATAATATTCATTGTTAAATCTTATTATTATTATTATAAAAAAAACAAAAATATATATTTATAAGTTTATAGGATTAAAAAGATAAGAAATTTTTTATAGAGTCGCGTCTCAAATTACCTTTCGATGATATATACCGCTTTGGCCTTTGGCTTGTTAATTAAATTAATTCGATTCATTTTATTTTGTTTATTTCGTGGAAATCGAATAGCATTTATTATCATTGATAAAATAAGTTAGATTTTGATCAGGTGTCAACCCTGATTTGTGTATCATAGATTATCAAATAAGATATAAAAGGGGTCAACAATTTAGTAATCATTCAAAATTATTGTTGATAAAATGAATTCAGAAAAGTTTCCTCAAATAAGGGCTGGTGGTTCACTCCTCCTCGCTTGGAGAATAAAAAATAAAAATGTTCTTATCGTTGGTGGTGGCAATGTTGCTTGTAGTCGAGTCATAAAAGCATTGGAAGCTGACTCTTCAATAACACTTGTATGCCCTGAACAAGGTCTCAAGGAAGAACTAAAATATCGTATTCAACAAAATCAAATTCGTAAATGGATTAATCGTGAATTTGAAATTTCCGATTTAGATGGAATGGATATGGTCCTTTCCGCCATTGATGATCCGGTGAGATCACGTGAAATATGTCAGTTTTGTAGAGAAAAGAATATTCCTGTTAATGTGGCAGATGTTCCACCATTATGTGATTTTTATTTCATGGCAGAACATCGAGATGGTCCTCTTCAGATAGCTGTATCCACTAATGGAAAAGGTCCAAAATTAGCTACTATAATTCGTGATCATATTCAGGATAATTTACCTAAAAGAATTGGTGACTCAATAGAAGCGGTTGGATTATTAAGACAAAAAGTAAGGGAAGTCGATCCTGATCATGCTTCATCTGAAAAGAGGATGAATTGGATGTCAAAAATTTGTGAGGAGTGGTCTTTGGATGAATTAAAAATGTTGAATGAGAAAAAAATTGATGAATTGATTTCTCATTATAAAAATAATAATGTTCCAAAATATTCGGAAATCATTTCTTCTGAAGGTAAAAAAGGTTACACTGGTCGTATTATCATTGTTGGTGCAGGACCTGGTGATCCAGAATTATTAACTATTAAGGCCACCAAGGCTCTAAGTTCAGCTGATTTAATAGTATCTGATCGACTTATTCCTAAAGCTGTATTTGCAAATGTAACATGCGAAATCCGTTTGGCTCCTTCTAAATCAGGGGAAACTAAATCTGAAGATGCACAAGATTTACTTCAGAATTGGTGTCTTGAAGCATTAAATGAAGGGAAAACTGTGATTCGATTAAAAATAGGTGATCCATTCTTGTTCGGACGTGGTGGAGAAGAAGTGGCATTCTTTAAAGAAAGAGGTTGGAATGTTGAAGTGATTCCGGGTATTAGTAGTGGATTATCAGCTCCTATGGCTGCAAATGTTCCAGTCACTTATAGGGGTTTATCTGATCAAGTTCTCATCACCACAGGTCAAGGTACTAAAGGAAAATTACCTAATTTACCTACTTATGATATTATGCGTACGACAGTTGTTCTTATGGCTGTTGGTAAAGCATCCGAGTTGAGTAAAGAATTGTTGGATAAAGGTTATCCTCCAGACTTACCTACAATCTTTATAGAAAATAGTAATCGTCCTGAAGAAAGATTAATTGAAGCAACAGTTTCAACATTAGGTGAGGTGGTTGAGAAGGAACATGTAGTTGCACCTTCTACCCTTGTCATTGGTAGAACGGTGAATACATTGAAAAACCAGGAATTAATTTGTTAATCTTTTTATTTAACAATTTTTTTTATTCAAATTTCTAAAAAATTTTGTATAATTAGTTATTATTGTATTTTATTTTCATATTTATATTAAACCTAATTAAAAATTGATAATCCAAGTTTTTAATGAAGAAGCTTAGAAGATTTGTCTTTAATTGAAATTATAAGTTATTTTCATTGCATTTAATTGTTAACATCTTTATTATTACTTTGTCACAAAAATTTTATAAATTTATAACAAAAATAATAATAAAATTATTATAAAAAGAAAATTTATAAAGAAATTGGAAATTCGAATTATTATTAATACTTAACAAAATTCTTCAAAAATATATAAAGATATAAGATATATATATATGCAGTTTCGATCTACAATTTACAGGAGGATGAAAATGAAAACGAAATTTCCGTGTAGATAAAGGGCTAACTCAGAATTTTTTTATTTTCTCGTTATTGGTTGATAGCATGATTGGCCAATAAATGACAATCTAATCTGTAATAATATATATTTCGGAAGTTACTTGTAAAAGAAATAGGTTATGGACGACAAAGTTGAAGAAAAGATATCCACTAATAACGTTCAAATCGATTTGGTACAAACTCACACTTTACAAGTAGAAAATTCAAAGGAAGAGATAAAAAACGAATGGCATGAACTATTTATCGAATTCTTCACAAAGGCGAGCAATTTTTAATAAAAATGTGATGAATTTAGAAATTGTGAAATTTATTATTGTAACGACTTTTAGATGGGAATGGTTGAAACCGATCGAGCATTTAAAATGGAATTGATTGTTCTTTCGTCTGGTTACGAAAGACAATTACCAAAGCACATTGAATGGCTAATACACGGATTAAATGTAATTTTTAATAAATTGTAATTCGAATTATTTTTTACAATCTATAACGAGATCGCGCATTTTCCATTTTTTTCAGTTATGGAAATCAAATGTCAAAGTCAACGAATTATCTTCTAAAAGGAAAAACGAATCAGATGATGGATCGTCAAGTTTGTATATTATTATTCATGTATATTTCTTTAATTTAAAATAATTAAAAAAATTGATTGTTTTTACAAATAGATGAGAATATAGCGAAAAGAATTCAAAAATTAATTAGTCCCCAAATTGTTCAGATAAAAGCAACTAATTTAGAGGTAATTATATATATATCTATCTCTCCAATTTATCAAATTTATTCAAATTTATTCAAATTTATTCAAATTCTTATTTTTTTTTTCAGATCGAACAAAGAATTGATATGTTTGTCCAACTCAAAAAATCAGAAATAAATAATAGCAACAGAGCAGAATTTTTGCGAAAATCGAGTAATCCCAACGATCCTGATGGTAATGATCTTGTAAAATGACAATTTATTTATTCGTTTTAATAGATGAAATCTAATCATTTTTATCATTTTTATTTATTACCTTCAGATGTAATATCATGTGCTCGTACAGACGCTGCAGAAATCAACCGTAATATTCAAATGAAACATGATGTGGTAAATAATGATGATGGTCCTTTGGCTCGTTCTACTTTCTTATCATCAAATCAACGGAATGACAAAACTAAAGAGTTACCAACTGGCGTTGAAGAAAGAATACAAAATATTGAAAAACATTTAAATTTAAAAATTGGTAGAATTTATATTTTTTTTTTAAAAAAAAATAATAATAATAATAATAATAATTAAATTGAAAGATATAAGTAATACTATAAGGTTTCTTTTTTTTTTAAAAAAAAAAAAAAATAAATAAATAAATTAGTCTCGCCTGTTCCTATAGACGTATATACAAGAATAAAAATTCTAGAAGACAAAATTATCCAACTCGAAAGAGATTATCCACCATGGGCAGCTGTACATTTTAATCAACCTAATCGTCAGGTACTATTAATTTTAAATTATAAATTAGGATTCATTTTAAAAATTCACAATTAAAAATATTTCCTTAAAATAATAATCAGTTCCCCCCACCTTCACCTGTAACGGAGATTACTCTAAATTCAATTGGTGAAATAATAGGTAATACGGGTACAACATTACCTTCAGGAAATAAAACTTTATCAAATTCTACGCCAACATCAACGTACCATTTAAATTCTAATTCAATGGTAGAAGGAAAACAAATGTCACCAATATCACCTGTCCAAATACAACAAAATCTCAAATTTTCGCGTACTCCACGACCAATTAAGCCCAAAAGTCGAGGACGCGGTGATTCCTCAATGACACGGTCAATAATGGAACAATTGAAACAAAGACGTCGTATCGAAAGTGAACAAATAAACAATATTACATCAAAAGCAGTTGGCAATTGTCCAGTGGAAAAGAAAGTTGAAGACATTTTATTACGAACATCGAATGTATCTCTGCAGGAAAATCATCAAAAACATTCGTCGATTCAATCCAAAATGACCGAAATAACGGAAATACAAAATGATGTATTGAATGCATCATCTTTAAATTCTCAACAAGATGTCACAAGTAATATACAGTCTCAAGAAGTAATTTCTATAAGGGACGATCGTAAAATCGATCCAGGTAGTAAAAGTGAATCGGATACTGACTTCATTGTTTCAAATCGTGAATCAATGAATGTGGACAATTCTTTAGAAATAAATAAAATTGATAATCTTAACGTAGATATGATATTATAAATTTTGACATAAAAAGAGATTTTAGACTAACCATTTCGTAAAAAAAACAATTTAGATATATATATTTTTATAAAATCTAGAAGTCGAAATTTTTATTTAACTGATCTAATTTTTACTAATTTTTATCTATAATTATCGTCCTTTAAAAGGGGACAAAAAAACCAAAGCTCTATAAAGAAATAAGTGAAATTTTTAAAGGGAGTAGTTAAAAGAAACATAAAAACTAATCTATAAAAAAGGGCGTCACAAACAAATATACAAGAAATTATTAAAAGAAAAAAAAAACCCCCCGATAGTTTTATGGTAGATCGAAGTTCACTTTTTAACAGTGAATTACGTTATTAAGACAAAAGACGCAAAGGATTTAGGGGAAAATTAATATCTACAATTAAAATAAAAATTACTGAAATTACTAGAGAATTGTATTATTAAAAGTCTATATTTTTTATTATTTATTATTATTACTATTATTATTATTATTATTATTATTATTATTATTACTATTTATTATTTTATTGTTGTTGTTTTATTTTTATTTTTTTTTGAGTGGTAACCAATTGTTTAATAATTTGCCGTACAAGAATCAATTTCCATCGATACATTGGTAAGATCAATATCACTTTCTACAGTACCGTCCGAAATTTCATCAATATGAGCTTCCAAGAAATATTTAAAGTCCTTTTCTGGTTCATTTTTGAAATTTAGCCAGAATGAATGCGCCGAAAGACAAGATAGCAAATAAGCAGCTCTATATATTTTTATGATTTTTATAATTTTTATGATTAGATGATCATCGACATCATTATTTAAATCTGATAAATTTTATTATTATCTAAATTATCAATATATTATCAAATAAAACTTACTTGAGATCCTCTATTATTTGACGACATTTCTTTTGTTCATGAACGCGCTCCTTTTGATTTTGGATGTCCGTTGAACTCGTGGTTGTCGTGGTTGTCGTGGTTGTCATCTGAGAACAATGATTATTGCGTGTAGATCGAGTAGAATGTCTTTTTTGAATCTTTCCACTTGATACACTTGATACTTGTTTACTATAATAATATATTAAATGATGAGTCAATATCTTATAGTTAAAAGTTTTAAATATAAAAATTTTATATATTTACAGTGCTTCTTGGTGACGCGGCCGCAAAAAAAACTTGGTAAGTTTTCCTTGGTTTACTTTTAGGATGGGCGCATTGTTGGGACCTACTGCATTAAGAAGCTTGCTGATTTCTCCACTGACAGTATTTCTAGGTGTTGCACCACTGTATATAAAAGATTTTTACGTTTAAACTTGATGTATAACAAATTTAAAGAGATGAAGTTGTTGCTAATTCCAACATTTAAGATGGTTAAAAAAAAATAATACTTACTGAAAAACCACTAATTGTCGTCTAGTCATTTCATCGACTAACTCTTGTAAAGAGAGTGGTTTATTGGTAGTTTCCAAAACTGTAATAACACCAGAAATTATTTTGCTATGTCCGTGATATACGTATTTCGAAGTTTTGGACGGCATGATGTTTCAAGATGAAAGAAATAAAATGCTAAAATGTTTGAATTTGTAAGTCGATATTGCAAGAAAAACTAACTTAAACTCTCAAGGCACGGTACTTTAAAGTAAAAAGTTGATGAAACTAAACGAAACAAAAAAAAAAGTAGAGAATGGAAACTGAAGGGATGATGATTTTTTTACCAGTTAACTGACTTTATTATAGTTTGAGTTAGTGAAATTTTTCATTTTTTATATTTTATAATGTATGTATGTCGCGTCGAGGATAATTTGTGCCATAAACCTTTTTAGGAATATACTTGTATCGCATGAAATAACATAGTGTTGCCCAGTTTTTTTGTTAGTTCCGAGTGCCTGGACTTCTACTCTTATTAATGCACCATGCGAAAATTTGTGAAACGACTGTTTAAAAGTTTTATTGGCTGTTACGCAGGAGACCAGGGGTTAATCTAACTTGGTACCACTATTCGATATACTTTGTGCAGCCCGTGCTCATTATATGTTGCATACACATTGGTATCCTATCTGCTCGATTACTTACATTCGTTGTCTTGAATGTTGAACTTTACTGGGTGGTTCACGTGTATTTTTAATTCCTATTACAACTAATGATGAATAGAATGGTAAATTGCTTGAATTTTCGAAATTTTTATGCGTATAAAAGTTGTTTAATTTTTTATTTATTAAATGTAAATAGACATTGAGCGACACTCAAATACAAATTTTCGAAGAGATATTTTCATTCAGAAATTGGCGGCGTAAAATAGGTTCAGAAAACAAACTAGTCGGCTTTATTCCGACTATGGGATGTTTACACGAAGGACATTTGAGTCTAAGTAAAAAAAAAAAAAAATTTTGTGTACTTTTTTATATTTCAATTTGGAAATATCTTTTAGAATTATTAAATATTATTTAATTCTTTAAAGTAAAACAAGCAAATCAATATTGTCAAATTATCGTCATTTCTATATTTGTAAATCCTGCTCAATTCGCTCCGAGTGAAGATCTTGACAAGTATCCACGTACATTATCCGATGATCTTGATAAATTATCCTCTCTTAAATGTGTTGATGCAGTGTTTCTTCCAAAAGTGGAAGAAATATATCCAGCAGGAATTCCATTGGAAATTAAAGAACAGCAGGGTACTTTTGTTGAAGTAAAAGGAAAATCTCATCAGGTAGATAATAATAATTTGATGTTCAAATTTCAAGACATTTTTTGCAACTTAATTTCTTTATAAATAAGATGGAAGGAAAAACTCGTCCAGGATTTTTTCGTGGTGTTGCGACGGTTTGTACAAAATTATTTAACATCATTCAACCCGATAATGTCTTTTTTGGCCAAAAAGATGTACAACAATGTGTGATTATACGAAATATGATTCGAGACTTGCATTTTCCTATAGAAATGCATGTTGGAGATACTGTTAGAGAAAAAGATGGATTGGCTATGAGTTCTCGTAATAAATATCTCACACCCGAAATGAGAAAGGTTGCAATCACATTATATCAAAGTTTAATTGAGACAAAGAAAGCTTTTGAAAATAATATAAGGGATCGTAAAAACCTCCTTGATCCCGCTTTTGAACTTATAGAGCGCGTCACTAAAGAAAATGAAGCACAAAAACTTGGATTTTCCATAAAATTGGATTATTTATCATTAACTGATCCTGACACATTAGAAGAAATCGACAGAATTAAAGAAAAAGGTGCTATTTTGTCAGGCGCGTTATACGTTGGATCAACGCGACTAATTGATAATATATTATTTAATTGTAAACTATAGTAATTAAAAATAAATAATTTAAATACTTATTATATTTATTAAATGGGATGAATACAAAAATACACCCTTAAAAATATTTTAATAATTATATATTGGAAGTAAATGTGAGAGATTGATATGTTGTCTGCATAGTGGACATTCGGGCTTTTTTTTTTTTTTAATGAAGAAAATACAAATTTTAATATTACAAATATTATTATATACAAGAAATAACACGTTATACTTGCTGCTTACTTTATTACGACACCATTCAACAATGCATGACCAACAAAACAAGTGGCCACATGAAGTTGCCGTAGTATTCTTACGAAGAGAGAGACAAAGTGTACATTTACGAGTCACGGCTTCTTGTGGAGTGAGACCCATTGTTGAAGATAAATTAGATAAATTTATTTCTTCACTAAAAAATTCAAAATTGATGAATTTTTAATTTTAAAAAAAAAATAAAATAAAATAAAATTCAAAGTAAAAATTATTACTTAATGTTCATTTCATCTTCATATTCCCGATTATCGCTACTGAAAACGGAATCTTTGATAGGTTTCTTTTTATGAAGATAAGCTTGAACCATAATTTGGATTATTAACAAAAGTCCGAGTATTTCGTATCCAATACGTTGTTCTCCAGGACCCAATTGTTTAGTAAATATCTATTAAAATATGAATGAATAATGGTACAATCAGATAAATGTACAAAATTGAGACAAAAGACATGATTTAGCTGAAAAATAATATACATATCGAATCCCGGTCGCGCGCTTCGATAAATTATAATATACACCATAAAAATAAAAGATTGCAAGATGCATTGGACGAATATGATTTCTTAGAAATAAATGAATCTTAATAATCAAATTATTAACGGATTCGCGTAGTTGAACATGTTCACTTGATGATTGTCCATGAAATTTAGAGTTTATCCTTTGAGTTGACCTCGCGTTCCTTTGAAGTTTAGCAATTCTTTTGGAGTAAAGATATGGTAATATCACGTGACAAAATATTGAAGTACATCGTCTCTAGTGTAACAATGAGAGAATATCAAACAATTATCTTGTTAAACAAAATAATCTGCAAGATATTTTCACTAACTCCAATAGACGGCTCCTCTTTAGTTGATTCGGATATTTGCATTATGTCACAATATTCTTCTCCTAAAGTTTGAGTGCCTAAAAATCAATTAATCAATTAATCAATAATAAGATTTAAATTTATCAAAAAAAAAAACAAATGCATTCTAGAAATTACCTGTCAAGAAAAAATAGAAAAGATCAGATATTAAATTCACTTCTTTTTGATATAAGTGTTGCCTACGCGTGCCTTTACAAAGAAATTCTTTATCTCAACATTTTTTACATTTCTTATAAAATAAATAAATGAAACAAGAATACATAGAGACACACCAAAAAACAATCGAAAAACATTGGATATTTGTTGTTCTAATAATTTCTGATAATAAACATCTTTCTGATTAGCCCGAACTTTTTTGTTCAATAAAATAATAAAAATATTAATAAACTCAGTAAGAATTAAGTCCCGTTACTGTAAATGAAGTTAATAATAAAAGTACACTAACTGATGTCGGGTTGTGCGGCGTATGGAAAGTTTAGATCAAACTTCATTATTATTTTTTTTTTTTTTTTACATATCACAATTCATAATTCACCCTTAGAGAGACAATTATTCGTGCGACCATAAATTAAAGTTGAATCAATCAACCAATCATAATAATTAATAAATCGTACAATATATATTAGTTACAATTTCACCACGAAGAAGACTCCGTTGTAAATTTTAGAATTTTAGAGAACCTCAATCAATAATTGCAGGAATAGCAAAAAAGCCTACCTGATTTTTAAGTGATGTTAACAAGAAGCTTATCGTCTCCTTCACTAGATAAGCAAATATGTAGGTCATTCTTATTGTAAATATAATTGTGTACCCATATTTTAAGTGCACATCATTATAATTATTTACTTTCTTTTTTTAGTCATCTTGAATGTAGATCCAAACTTTTTTTTATTATGTAAAAAATTATGTATATAAAAAAAATTTATATTGTTCAGTGAAAATTTCATTTAAACGCGGTGAATAAAAAAAAAAAAAAAAAAAAAAAAAAAAAAAAAAAAAAAATCTAAAAATGCAAAAAAATTCTTAACAAAATTCTTTTAGCCAACAGCCACCTACAACCCA